AACCTAGAACTAAGGAGAAACTTCCTGACAGTTAGAACAATTCACCAGTGGAACTCCTTGCCTCCAGAAGCTGTGAATGCTCCAACACTGGAGGTTTTTAAGAAGAGATTGGACAGCCATTTGTCTGAAATGGTATAGGGTTTCCTGCCTGAGCAGGGGGTTGAACTAGGTGACCTCCAAGGTCCCTTCCAACTTTTATTATTATTATTATTATTATTACTATTACTATTATTACTAGTACGTGAGACTTTGGGCCAGTACATAAAAGGCAGGATATGCGCAAAGGTGCAGAATTGCTAAAGGAAACTTTGTGGTTCGGGGTTAAACTGTGAGGTCATGGGAGTCAAAGAATGACAGAGTGGGAAGGGACCTTGGAGGTCTTCTAGTCCAACCCCCTGCTCAGGCAGGAGATCCTAGACCATTTCAATCAATCAATCAATCAATCAATCAATCAATCAGAATAGAGCTGGAAGGGACCTTGGAGATCTTCTAGTCCAACCCCCCGGCTCAAGCAGGAGACCAATGGCTGTCCAGTCTCTTCTTGAAAACCTCCAGTGTCGGCGCGCCCACAGTTTCTGGTGGCAAGCAGTTCCACAGGTTAATTGTTCTCCCTGTCAGGGAATTTCTCCTTCATTGCAGGTTGCTTCTCTCCTTGCTTAGCTGACCATTCCTTTCAAAGTTACGAAGTGGCTTGGGACCGTTTTTCGCGCTTTCCCGACCGTTGCAGCATCCGAGGGTCACGTGATTAAAATTTGGGGATGTTGTAAGAAGCGTGGCACGGGGTGAGTTGGCCACACCCGTGTACGGGCACACGGGTGAGTCAGTAAGACGGCTGCACGTGTGAACGAGCAAAAGTGGGGTTCATGAACTCCGTTCGTTTGCCTCTTTTCCCCATCCCAAATCTGGCTGTTTCCAAAGCTGCAATTAGGGGGGGGGGAGAAACAATAATAATACGAGAAGCCTGTTGTAAATATTAGCGTGTAATGTACAATTATTATCCTCTTTTGCTTTCTCTGGAGATAGAAAACAGCTGCTGTCCTCCAGGGGTGGCTGGGGGCATCCCAAAGCCCCCTTTTTTTATTATTGAAACGTCGATTCCAAATTCATCAAGAACAAACGTCCAATTTCGGTCACTGGCAACTCGGCCGGGGCTTTTGGCCAAAGGAGGGGGGGACTCCTAGCCCTTTGCTGCTTGGTGGCTTGCGAGGCGGTGTATTTATCCTCCGAGTTTACTCGCTCAGTGCTCATCCGGGTAGGAAGGGGCCTTGTGACAAGGATATTTTGGAGATAAATGGCATTTTCAAAGGAGCTAAGTCAAGTCCTTATTATTATTATTATAATTATTATTATTATTATAATTTAATTTATATACCGCCCTTCTCCCGCAGGACTCAGGGCGGTGCACAGCGTATTAAAAACAGTACAAATACAAAGCATAAAAATACAAACCCCTATAAAACCAGATTAAAAAACCAAATATTAGAAGCTGTGTCTCTATTTAAAATTATTTTTAAAATCACCCTAAATAAAATCCTCCCNGGCCCGCTTGCTGGAAAAGCCATGTCTTGAGGGCACGGCGGAAGGTAAGGAGATCCGGAATCGTCCGGATCTCGGGGGGTAGTTCGTTCCAGAGGGTGGGGGCACCCACAGAGAAGGCCCTCCCCCTGGGGGTCGCCAGCCGACATTGTTTGGCCGACGGCACCCTGAGGAGGCCCGCTCTGTGGGAGCGTACCGGTCTGAGGGAGGGGATCTGCGGCAGAAGGCGGTCTCGGAGGTAACCAGGTCCGATGCCATGAAGCGCTTTAAAGGTGGTAACTAACACCTTAAAGCGCACTCGGAAGACCACTGGCAACCAGTGCAGCTCGCGCAGCAGCGGTGTTACATGGGAGCGACGAGTCCCTCCCAACACCGCCCGCGCGGCCGCATTCTGGACCAGTTGAAGTCTCCGGGTGCTCCTCAAAGGGAGCCCCATGTTTTGTAAGCGAATCACTGCAGTTAAGCTAGTCAAACAGTTGTTAAGGGGATCCGGCTTATTGTTGGGGCGCTCTAATCATTGATAGAACACTAGGGCTGGAAGGGACCTTGGAGGTCTTCTAGTCCAGCCCCCTGCTCAAATAGGAGACCTTATACTATTTCAATCAATCTATCTATCTATCAATCTATCAGGATAGAGCTGGAAGGGACCTTGGAGGCTGTCTAGTCCAACCCCTGGCTCAAGGCAGGAGACCCTAGACCATTTCAATCAATCTATCAGGTTAGAGCTGGAAAGGACCTTGGAGGCTGTCTAGTCCAACCCCTGGCTCAAGGCACGAGACCCTAGACCATTTCAATCAATCTATCAGGATAGAGCTGGAAGGGACCTTGGAGGGTGTCTAGTCCAACCCCTGGCTCAAGGCAGGAGACCCTAGACCATTTCAATCAATCAATCAATCAATCAACTAATCAATTAATCAATGAGAATAGAGCTGGAAGGGATCTTTAGAGGTCTTCTAGTCCAACCCCGTTTGAGCAGGAGATCCTCTACCATTTCAGACAAATGGCTGTCCCGCCTCTTCTTAAAAACCTCCAGCGATTTCTAAACAGGATGACCTGGAAATGGGGTGCGGGGAGGGGGGGAGAGAGAGCCCCTCTTTTTCGCGAAGCTTTGCTGAGCCGCAAGACAAGACATCTGGGAGACTGTTTTTTTCCCTTCGGTTTTTTTTTTCTTTCCCTTCCCTCTGGAGCCTGGAGGACAGCAGCCTTTATCGGCTGAAACAACACGGCATTAATCTTCATTTTGATCCTCCCCTTAGCAGTAATAAGCATTTGTTTGGGAAAGCTCTTATCTGGAGCATCTGTTTGGAAGGATTTGAAAGAGAGGCGTTCTGCAGACGCCTCTGCCTCGGCTTTGATGCTCCCATCGGCTGGAAAAACTCTGGGAACTCTCCCGGGGACCAGGGACGGTGGGAGGGGAGGATGGCAACCTCCCATGCTCCTGTCCCGCAGGCCATCTGGTTATCCCTCCCAAAGGTTGCGTTACAACGGATAGGATCGGGCATAGAAGGGGATGGTGGTGGAGAGCAGCCTATCTCAGGATGGCTTAGGAATCATCATTAGGAATGGCTTGGGCGGGGGTTGGACTAGATGACCTCCGAGGTCCCTCCCAACTTTGGTTATTCTACCATCCCAGATCAATCCACCAGCGGACCGGAAGTTGCCTCCAGAGGTTGTGGCTGCTCCATCACTGGAGTTTTGTTTTTTTTAAAAAAAAAAAAACAGACTGGACGGCCCTTTGTCTAAAACAGCATAGGGTCTCCTGCTTTGTCAAAGGGGTGGACTAGAAGACCTCCGGGGCCCCTTCCAGTTCTGTCATTCTACCATTCCCCAGATCAATCAATCCACCCACCAGCGGAACGGAAGTTGTCGTGGGCGCTCCACGACTGGAGCTTTTTCAAAAAGAGACTGGACGGCCCGTTGGTCCGGAATGGCAGACTTGAGCAGGGGGTTGGACTAGATGGCCTCCGAGGGGCCCTTCCGACTTCGGAAAGTCCCTTCCAGCGACGGTGCCATGACTCTTTTGAGTTCAGCGAGGATGTGCTTGGTCCCCAGCAGCCTTTCAGCCGACGCAGCTGCTGCCTGCAGGGGTGGCTGACCTCCTGCAGCAGCAGCCGGAGCAGCCAGGAAAACCAGGAAAAAAAGCTCGGCCTGGCCTTTGGGAAGGGGGGGAGAAAGTGGTTTGGAGGGATCACAACGCTGCCCAGGCTGAGGGAGGTTCCTGGCAGCCCCTGTCCTCGTTCTGCTGATCTTGGCCGGGATCTCCACGGCTTTGGCTTCTTCTCCGAACGGCCCTGGGACACAGTGAGCCGCCTCAGACCCGGCAGGGCCGGCCCCCGTCCACCTCCGTTTTTTGGGGGGGGAGACAAAGGACAGCTGTTGAACTGGAGAAGCGACAGGCTCCTGCAGGACAGGTCTGGGGAAGGGGCGTAGGCTGGGGGCTGGACTAGAAGACCTCCGAGGTCCCTTCCGACTCTGTTAGTCTATAATCCCAGATCAATCGATCCATCAGCACGCTAAAACAGGCAAAAGCCTGGTTGACGTGGGAAGAAGCAGGCTGGGCATCTCCAGCTCATAGCCAGGGCTTCCATTACAGGAAGTTTGAGAAAAGTATCTGGCAGTTGCAGGAATTGGGGGTGTCTAATTTAATGAAAAGAAGGACTAGGGGGGACAGGATAGCAGCCTTCCAGTATTTGAGGGGCTGCCCCAAAGAAGAGGGGGGATGAACTTATTCTCCAAAGCACCAGAAGGCAGGATAAGAAGCAATGGATGGAAGCTAATCGAGGAGAGAAGCAACCTGGGATTAAGGAGAAACTTCCTAACACTGAGGACAATTAGCCAGTGGAACAGCTTGCCACCAGAAGTCGTGGGCGCTCCATCACTGGAGGCTTTTAAGAAGAGACTGGACAGCCACTTGTCTGAAATGGTCTAGGGTTTCCTGCTTGAGCAAGGGGCTGGACTAGAAGACCTCCGAGGTCCCGTCCAACTCGGTTATTCTGCCTTTTCTCCCCAAATCTTCAGCAACCGCGAGATAGCCAAAAAATTTAAACAGAACAACAGAGTTGGAAGGGACCTTAGAGATCTTCTAGTCCAACCCCGTGCCCAAGCAGGAGACCCTAGACCATTCTGAATATCAGAATAACAGACCTGCACGGGTATCTCTGCCTGGGCTCACAATGGCCGCCTTTTAATCTTGGGAACCAAGTTAAAATTCCAATAAAAGGGTGTGTGTGTGTGTGTGTGTGTGTGAGATCACTTTTATTGTTTTATCAATGTATAAAACACAAGAGAAGAAGGAAGGAAGGAAGGAAGGAAGGAAGGAAGGAAGGAAGGAAGGAAGGAAGGAAAGAAAGAAAGAAAGAAAGAAAGAAAGAAAGAAAGAAAGAAAGAAAGAAAGAAAGAAAGGAGGGAAAAATACGAGCTACGAGGCCGAGTTTAATTTCTGACGTGTTCCTGGCAGGTACTTGGCCAAGCTCTCTTCGGTGGGCAGCATCTCCGAGGAGGAGACCTGTGAGAAGCTGAAGGGGCTGATCCAGCGGCAAGTCCAGATGTGCAAGAGGAACCTGGAAGTCATGGACTCGGTGCGCCGGGGGGCGCAGCTGGCCATCGAGGAGTGCCAGTTCCAGTTCCGTAACCGCCGGTGGAACTGCTCCACCTTGGAGAGCCTGCCGGTCTTTGGCAAGGTGGTCACGCAAGGTATGGTGGTCCAGCAGGAGGCCGGTGGGGAGGGGGCGAGGCAGAGGAGGAGGGTGCTTTTAATCCAGCTAACAGGGATGGCGTAGGGAATTCTGGGAGTTGAAGTCCGTGCATTTTTCAAGTCATCATGGTTGAGAAACACTGCATTTAAACGGCTCTCAATTCTTCTTCTTCTTCTTCTTCTTCTTCTTCTTCTTCTTCTTCTTCTTCTTCTTCTTCTTCTTCTTCTTCTTCTTCTTCTTCTTCTTTTCTTCTTCTTCTTTCTTCTTCTTCTTTTCTTTCTTCTCCTCCTCCTCCTCCATCCTCCCCTTCTCCATCTTCTTTCTAACCTTTCATCACTCATTCTTCTCCATCTCCTCCTCCTTCTCCATCTTCTCCTGTCTTCCCACCCTCCTTCTCCTCCTCTGCACAGCTTTTCATTTCACAAGCCGGGGCCTTCCTAGTCGGTCACCAAAGCCTGCAATGAAATGTTGCGGCGAGGAACGGAGAGCTTTTCGCCCAGAGCTGCCAAACCTGGTGGAGAGACATAGATTCCCCCCCCCTTTTTTTCCCCCTGCTCTTGGGGCTTTGACGATCAAATGCTTTTTGTTTTTTGATGGGTTTTTTTTGCAAAAGAGTCTCTTTGCTGCTGCACCTTACTGACAGGTTTTCAGGGAATTTGCAGCGAGGGGGGGAGAGAAAAAAAAGAACCCCAAAGCCAGAAAAAGGGGTGAGAGATTGGGTGGAAATGCTTGCATGCTTCTTCTCCATTTGTTCATCATGGCTGGATTTGCATCTGGCCTCCGCTGAAGGCAGGGAGCCTCCTCCTTTTTTAAAAGCCCCCATGGCTTCTAATTTAACTTTCCCTTGCTTGTCTTCAGGGAGGGGAGAGGCAGCGGGGGGGGGGGGAGAGGCTGCCGGAGCCCTGTGCCCTGGAAATACCAAAAATACCAAGGAATGAAGCTCCCTCTCTTCCCAGCGGCCGCAGAGCGAGGCCAAGCTAGCTTCAGCCTGTCATTAACCACAATTAATTCAAAGGTCGGGCAGTTGCTTCTCCAGATGGAGGTGTCCCGTCTTCTTCCCCCGCCCCCCCTTTCTTCCAGGAGCCAAAGCTGCCCAGGTTTGCCAAGTTTGGGCTTTGCAAAAAAAAAACAACCAAGAGGGCATTTCTGCCCATTCCTTTGCTCCATTTGGGGAGGGGGGCGAGGGGGGGGCGAGGGAGGGAGGGCAGCGCAGGGTCCTTTGAGACAGAAGCCTCTGTCATGCCTCTAACCACCATTGGCAGGAACTGGATGTCGCAAGGTTTCAGGGAGAACCGCTAAACCAATATTCCCTCTTTGGCGTGCAGAGGCCTGCCCCACCCCAGCCGCCGGCATCGGGAGGGGAGGGGGGCACAGACCGCCATCTCTTCTAGAGCTTCTCCAGAGGAATGAGGGGACGGGGGGGGGAACAGGGCGGTCTCCTTTACAGGGCCAGGAAAGTTCGGCGAGAGACCAAGCGAGGACACGTGCAGAGTATCTTAATTTATATATATATATATATATATATAAAACACGTGCAGAACATCTTAATTTGTATATATATATAAAACACGTGCAGAATATCTTAATTTATATATATATATATAAAACACGTGCAGAATATCTTAATATATATATATATATATAAAACACGTGCAGAACATCTTAATTTGTATATATATATAAAGCACGTGCAGAATATCTTAATTTATATATATATATATAAAACACGTGCAGAATATCTTAATATATATATATATAAAACACGTGCAGAACATCTTAATTTATATATATATATAAAACACGTGCAGAGTATCTTAATATGTATATATATATAAAACACGTGCAGAATATCTTAATTTATAATTTTTTTTATATATAAATTTATATATATATATCTTAATGTATAAATTTATACACACACACACAAATGCACGTGCGCACGCACACACACACACACACACACACATTCTTAATAATAAAACCCTGCAAAAGGATGCCAGCATGGAGGGGGGGGAAAGAGAAGCACTTTGATGCTGTTGGAGGGTTTCAAATACAGGCTGGTCCTCGGCTTAACGTCCACTCCTCAGCCCGACGTTTCCGTGGCTAAGCGAGGCATCCGTGAGGTTGCATTTGGCTCCGCTTTGCGGCCTCTCGCGCCACGGGGGTTAAGGGAACCGCAGTGGGTGTTGGCGCGAGCAGCGCTGCGGTTTCCCCATCGGCTTTGCTCGTCGGAAAGTCGAGTTCACAGAAAAACAGAGGGGCCTCGGAGGTCTTCTAGTCCAACCCCCTGCTCAGGCAGGAGGCCTGCCTAGACCATTTCAATCAATCAATCAGAATAGAGCCAGAAGGGCCCTTGGAGGTCTTCTAGTCCAACCCCCTGCTCAGGCAGGAGGCCTGCCGAGGCCATTTCAATCAATCAATCAGAATAAGAGCCGGAAGGGACCTTGGAGGTCTTCTAGTCCAACCCCTTCCTTAAGGAAGAGACTCTACACCATTTCAACCAATCGATCTTTTTTTTTTTTCGGTTCTGGTTCTGCCAGGGACACGAGAAGCTGCCTTCGTCTATGCCATCTCCTCCGCTGGCGTCGCCTTCGCCGTGACCAGGGCGTGCAGCAGTGGAGAACTGGAGAAGTGCGGCTGTGATCACACGGTGCACGGCGTCAGCCCTCAGGGTAAGGGCGCTCCCTTCTAGCACGGATGGTATCACCTAGCTGGGTCCTGAAACGTCTGCGAGAAAACCACCCAGCTCAGAGAGCATCAAGGACCCCCGCGCGGTTCAACGCCGAGCTGCAAATATTCTCGTCTGCTGGTATCAAAGTCTTCTTCTGTTTCTGCCTCTAGGTTTCCAGTGGTCCGGCTGCTCCGACAACATCGCTTACGGCGTCGCGTTCTCCCAGTCGTTTGTGGATGTGCGGGAGAGAAGCAAGGGGGCCTCTTCCAGCCGAGCCCTCATGAACCTCCATAACAACGAAGCTGGGCGAAAGGTAACAGCCCCATGGGCTTGGCTACCCCTCCAGCAATTACTTCCTGCAGCTATGGCGATTTATCTGATCTATCTATCTATCTATCTATCTATCTATCTATCTATCTATCTATCTGTCTATCTCAGAATCATAGACTCCTAGGGACCTTGGAGGTCTTCTAGTCCAACCCCCTGCTCAGGCAGGAAAGCCTAAACCATTTCAGACAGATGGCTGTCCAGTCTCTTTTTAAAAACCTCCAGGGATGGAGCACCCACAACTTCTGGAGGCAGGTGGTTCCACTGGTTGATTGATCTGGGATTGTGGAATAACAGAGTTGGAAGGGACCTCGGAGGTCTTCTAGTCCAACCCCCTGCTGAAGTAGGAGAGCCTAGACCATTCCAGACAAATGGTGGTCCAATCTCTTCTTCAAAACCTCCACCCACAACTTCTGGTGGCAAGCCGTTCCACTGGCTAATTGCCCTCACTGTCAGGAAGTTTCTCCTTAATTCCAGGGTGGCTTCTCTCCTGGATTTAATTTCCATCCATTGTTTCTTGTCTTCTGGTGCTTTGGAGAATAAATTGACCCCCTCCTCTTCTTTGGGGCAGCCCCTCAAGTACTGAAATGCTGCTGTCATGTCCCCCCTAGTCCTTCTTCTCCCTAGAACTATCCATATCCAAATCCTGCCACCGTCCGTACGTTTCGGTCCCCAGGCCTTTAATCATCCCACTTGCTCTTCTCTGCACCTTTCCCCAAAAGCCTCAGCATCCTGTTTGCATCTCTCTCGACCTTTTTTTTTTTCCTCCAGGCCATCCTGAACCACATGAGGGTGGAGTGCAAGTGCCACGGCGTGTCGGGCTCGTGCGAGGTCAAGACGTGCTGGAAAGCCATGCCCCCCTTCCGCAAAGTGGGCCACGTGCTGAAGGAGAAGTTCGACGGGGCCACCGAGGTGGAGCAGCGGAAGATCGGCTCCGCCAAGGTGCTGGTCCCCAAGAACTCCCAGTTCAAGCCGCACACGGACGAGGACCTGGTGTACCTGGATTCCAGCCCCGATTTCTGCGACCACGACCTCCGGAACGGCGTGCTGGGCACCCAGGGGAGGTCTTGCAACAAGACCTCCAAGGCCATCGACGGCTGCGAGCTCATGTGCTGCGGCCGGGGGTTCCACACGGACGAAGTTCAAGTGGTGGAGCGCTGCAGCTGCAAGTTCCATTGGTGCTGTTTTGTCAAATGTAAACAGTGCCACCGGCTGGTGGAAATGCACACGTGTCGGTGACCGGGGAGGAAAGCCAGCCAGCCAGCCATGGAAACTTCTGGGACACGGTCTTGGGCCCCCTGACCGAAAAGGGTCGCCAAGAAGGGAACAGAGAGCAAATTTTTTTAAAAAAAAAGAGAAAGAAAGAAAGAGAAAAAGAAGAAGAAAAATATTTAAAGTTTCCAATCGTGATTGTAATTTGAGGTTGAGGGTGGGGGGAGAGAAGAGGGGATTGTTGTCGTGCACAAGTAGCCATGACCCACGACCGCCACTGAATCGCTGAGGTTGTTAAGTTAGTGACACGGTTGTTAAGTGGATGGGGCTTCCCCGTTGACTTTGCTGGTCCCAAGGTCACAAAATGTCTCCTTCGTTCTCTCCTGGATTCCATCTTTTACTTCTTGTCCTGCCTTCAGCTGCTTGGGAGAATAGGTGGACTTCCTTCCTTCCTTCTTCTCTTGCTGTTTCTTTCTTTCCTTCCTTCCTTCCTTCCTTCCTTCCTTCCTTCTTTCCATTTCCTTCCTTTTTCTCTTGCTGTTTCTTTCCTTCGTTCCTTCCTTCCTTTTTCTCTTGCTGTTTCTCTTTCCTTCTTCCCTTCCTTCCTTTCCTTCCTTCCTGGTATCCATCCATCCATCCCTCTCTCTCTTTCTTCTGCCTTATAAAATCCTAGGGCTGGAAGGGACCTTGGAGGTCTTCTAGTCCAACCCCCCTGCTCCGGCAGGAAACCCTAAACCATTTCAGACAAATGGTTGTCCAGTCTCTTCTTAAAAACCTCCAGTGATGGAGCATTCACTGCGTCTGGTGGCAAGCTGTTCCACTGGTGAATTGTCCTTACAGTCAGGAAATCTCCCCTTAATTCCAGGTGGCTTCTCTCCTCGGTTAGTTTCCCTCCGCTGTTTCTTGCCCTGCCTTCAGGGCCTTTGGAGAATAGGTGGACCCCCTCTTTTGGGGGGGGGACAGAGCCCCTCAGCTATTGGAAGACGGCTATCATGTCACCCCCTAATCCTCCTCTTTTGTTTGATGAGACATACCCTCTGGAGAGACCCGACTTTCCAAATTGTTGGCTCCTTTTTGCAATGCCTTTCTCCTCCCGGAAGGGCCCCACGTTGCTCTCGGAGAGGGAGGGGAGAGGTTAGGGGGCAGGCAGGCAGGGGGACCAGCATCCGAGGCTGCCTAGTTCTGCCACAGCTGTGATGGGACGGGGGAGTGATGGGGTCACTGGAAGATGCACCAGATGAGATCCAGCTGTAGGTTTGTTTGGCCGCTGAACGACACAACGTCGGAAGGGGCCAATATCCATTCTTTGCCCCCCCCCCAAAGGGAGGCAGGCCAAAATTTGTGCAGACCCCATGGCTTTTCCTGGCATATACTTCGTGAAGTATACTGGTGCGAAGATTCATTGCTTGCTACACATTACGCACACAAATATTGACGGGAAGGCCTGGGGGGGAAAAAAACCTGGAAAAATGGGGGGGGGAAGGATTATTATTTTTTTATTTTTTCCAAAGCTGTTTGGGAAAAAAAATGGGAGGAAAAAACCTGTTTTTCCCCCCAATTTTTCCAGTTTTGTTTTTTTTTTGCCTCCCAGGCTTTCCCACATCTACATACAAAACACCACATTTTTGATCCCTTTCCTTCAGTGTGTAGCCACACACAATGGGTCAAAGGGGTGTGAATTTGGGACGCTCAAGGGTGGGTGGGGAGGGGGGGCCTGCCCCATCAGCCTTGCAGGACAGGGGGCAGGAAAGATACCAGCTTGTTTTTCGTCCCCATCCTGAATGGGACCAGTCTTAATGTGTGTGTGTGTGTGTGTGTGTGTGTGTAATACAGGTAGTCCTCAACTCACGACAATTGAGCCCAAAATTTATGTCGCTAAGTGAAACGTTTGTTCATTTTGAATTTTGCCCCATTTTGTGACTTTTCTTGCCACCTTGAAGTGAAACCCTGCCGTTGTTAAATTAGTCACAGAGTTGCTTAAGTGAGTTTGGTTTCTCTGTTGACTTTGGGGGGGAGGAAAGAGGGGGTGTCACGTGGCCCCTGGGACATTGCGACCGTCGTAAAGGTAAGTCGGCAGCCGAGCATCCGAATGCAAATCACGTGACCCCGGGAATGATGCAACGGTTGTATAAGAGTGGGGAAAGGGTTCCTAAATCAGTTTTTTTTCCCCTTAGAAGCAACAGCAACGTGGAAAGGGCAAGCAGCCTGAGTAGCGGGTTGGACTAGATGACCTTCAAGGCCCCTTCCAGCTCTATTCTGATTGATTGAAATGGCCTCGGGTCTCCTGCCTGAGCAGCGGGTTGGACTAGATGACCTCCAAGGCCCCCTTTCCAACTCTTTGTTATTCTATTCTAATCCCTTGCTTAATTCTTGATTCAATCTAGCTTGGCTAGGTAATAAGAAACGCGTTTAATCCTTCCGGGATTCCTCCTGAGATTCCAGCCTGCGAATTCCGGCCGCCATTCAGACTGTTTCGAAGAGAAAGCCCGGGGAACGGGCCTCAACTTATAACTAAAAACGGAGCCCAGAATTTCCATTTTGCTGGGCAAAACAGTCGCTAAGTGAGTTTTCCCAAGGAGAAAACGGGGGATTTTCCTTGAGGAAAACGGCAATGGGGAGTTTGACCAGGTTCCCGGCTGCCAGATGTTCAAGTTAAATCCAGAGTTCAGCAGCTGGACAGTACCCACGCCGATTGGTTTTGGAAGCAACTTCGCAATTTTTACACCTGCCAAGTGTAAATATTCCCCGGCCAGCCGGGGGAGGAGGGTGTGTATGTGTGCACGATGAATCAATGGAACAGCTTGGGAGTTGTGGGTGCTCCATCGCTGGAGGTCTCCAAAAGTAAGACTGGGCAATCGTTTATCTGGGGCGGTGTACAGAATAACAGAATAAAAGAGTCAGGAGGGACCTTGGAGGTCTTCTAGTCTGACCCCCTACTCAGGCAGGAGGCCTGCTTAGACCATTTCAATCAATCAGAATACAGCTGGAAGGGACTTTGAAGATCTTCTAGTCCAACCCCCTGCTCAGGCAGGAGACCCTAGACCATTTCAATCAATCAATCAATCAATCAGAATATTTGAAGGTCCTCCAGTCCAACCCTCTGCTCAAGCAGGAGACCCTAGACCACTTCAATCCATCAGAATAGAGCTGGAAGGGACCTTGGAGGTCATCTAGTCCAACCCCCTGCTCAGGCAGGAGACTCTAGACCATTCCGGAGAAATGGTGGTCCAATCTCTTCTTGAAAACCTCCAGTGATGGAGCATCCATAATTTCTGGTGGCAAGCAGTTCCACTGGGTTAATTGTCCTCGCTGTCAGGAAATTTCTCCTTAATTCCAGGTTGCTTCTCTCCTTGGTTAAGTTTCCATCCGTTGCTTCTTGTCCTGCCTTCTGGTGCTTTGGAGGCTAGATGGGACCCCCCCCCTCTTCTTTGGGGCACCCCTTCAAATATTGGAGCACTGCTATCACGTCACCCCTGGTCCTTCTTTTCTCTAGACTAGACATACCGAGCTCCCTCAACCGTACATCCTACAATTTGGCCTCCAGACTCTTCTAGAAACGAAATTCGCTTTTAGGGCCACGGGTCCGTCTTCCCCGGGGTCTCTTTGCTGTTGCCAAAAAAATCCAAGACTCAATGGGAGAAGTTTTCCCAACATTTCATGGGAAAAGCATCGCAGCAAAGCTAGTGCACCACACAATCGTGCGCTCGGCTCATGGCTGTTGTGGAAAAAGCGACGGCTTCGGATGGCTTTTGTGTGTGTGTGTGTGTGTGTGTGCTGTCGGCTGTCGTCATGCCGAGTTCCTCCTTTGGCAGCGGAGAAAGCAAGCCAGCCAGATTTGACCACTTCCCTTGTATGTTTCCTTTCCAACAGGGCTCCCCACAGCTCCACCCCCCTTCGGAGGGTGGACTGGTGTGAGATTTCAGAGGCTGCTCTTCCAAGCCGTGTGGTCGTTTGGCTCTTGTTTTCGAAGCGTTTTTCTTTAAAAATAATAATAATAATAATAATAAAAAATACTGTGCAACTGGCTGCAGAAGAGAGAAAAGAGAGCGAAAGAAAGGAAGGGAAAAAGAGAAAGGGAAAGAGGAAGGGGAGGAGAAAGGGAGAGAGAGAGGAAGGAAGGAAGAAAAAGAGAAAGAAGAAAGAAAGAAAGAAAGAAAGAAAGAAAGAAAGAAAGAAAGAAAGAAAGAAAGAAAGAAAAAGAAAGAAAGAAAGGAAGGGAAAAAGAGAAAGGGAAAGAGGAAGGGGAGGAGAAAGGGAGAGAGAGAGGAAGGAAGGAAGAAAAAGAGAAAGAAGAAAGAAAGAAAGAAAGAAAGAAAGAAAGAAAGAAAGAAAGAGAAAAAGAAAGAAAGGAAGGGAAAAAGAGAAAGGGAAAGAGGAAGGGGAGGAGAAAGGGAGAGAGAGAGAAAGGAAGAAAAAGAGAAAGAAGAAAGAAAGAAAGAAAGAAAGAAAGAAAGAAAGAAAGAAAGAAAGAAAGAAAGAAAGAAAGCTGCAAACTTCCTAAAATTCTCAGGGATCTAATGCAACAAGATCCAAGACAGAGCAAAAGGAGGACTTTTTGACAAGTGTCTAAGTGGTTAACCTGTGGAATTCACTGCCTCAGGATGTGCGGAGGGCAAGCAGATCAGCGGGCTTTAAATGGGGACGATAAATCCACCGCTATTTTTGGCTGCTGGCGGGAATTGCGACAGGCAACAATAGAAGAGCAGGGCAGAGCTCGCTCTTCTCTGTCTCTCGCAGGGTGGGTGGGTGCCCTCCCAAAGAGGCAATTGGGCAGGTCACCGTGAAAACAAAATGCTAGAAGCTGCCAATGTGATTTTTGGAGCAGGGGTCTGTGTGTGTGTGTGTGTGTGTGTGTGTGTGTGTGTGTGTGTGTGTGTGTGTTTCGCTCAGTTCTGGTGGCCTTCCTTGGGGCTGCAAAAGCTTTGGAGGAAAAGCGGAGAGAGGGACTGTCTTCGAGATGGACTCGTCCTTCCGTCCTTCCAGTGGTCAGGCTAACTCTGCCGACTGCCAGACGTTCGATCCTGACCGCCTCAAGATTGACTCAGCCTTCCATCCTTCTGAGATCGATAAAATGAGGACCCAGTTTGTTGGGTGCAAAAAGCTGACTCTGTAAAACGGCTTAGAGAGGGCTGCAAAGCACTGTGAAGCGGTGTATAAGTCTAAGGGCTGTTGCTATTGCCTTCCTTCCTTCCTTCCTTCCTTCCTTCCTTCCTTCCTTCCTTCCTTCCTTCCTTGTGGTTAGAATGCAGGATTATTGAGGACCGTTTTCACACATACAACCGTCGCATCGTCCCTGCGGTCATGTGATTTACATTCGAATGCTCAGCAACCGACTCACATTTATGACGGTCACAGTGTCCCAGGGCTCATGTGATTCTCCTTTGGGGACCTCCCTCCCGACAAGCCAAGTCCACGCGGGACGCTTAACAACCATGTAGCTAACTTTTAACAACTGCAGGGATTCCCCCTTAACAATGGTGGCAAGGAAGTTTGTAAAACGGGGCGAAGCTGACTTAGCAACTGTCTCACTTAGCAACGGAAATCTTGGCCTCAGTTTTGGCCGACCTGTATGCTCACGTCTTTGTAAGATGGAGGCCCCTGTCAACTCAAGGGCCACACTGGATTCTGCAAGGACAGTACGCCCACCCACTCACACACCCCCCCGGTGAATTTCCCCTGGCAGACTCTGGTTCCCCTCGCACATCCGGGCCCAGCTGTTTTGTGGGTCTTTCCAGAAAATTTCTTGTTGATGTAAACAACTTGGCAGCCGGTCTTTGGGATGCAGCCAACGCTGTTCCGGAAAGTTGCTGGAAATATAAACTATTAGAGCTGGAGGCTTCTGGATTCAGCCAGACCTCCCTTAAAATTATATATTCCACAACAGAAATTTGGGGGTGGGGGAATGGAGCGGGCTAAACTGGCTCGGTTCCCCCATCTAGTGGTTCTTTTCCCAAAAGTGCAGAGCTGAGCTTGGCAATTTTTAAGTTCCAATTTTGCCGTTTGGAAAAAAAAAGCACACTCCGCAGGCAAACTTTATTAGGACTGCCCAGGGGTTTATCTAATCAACGTCAGCTCTTTTAAAGACGGGCAGACTTCAACTCCCAGAATCCCCCAGCCAAGCCATGCTTCGGCAGGGCGGTGACCACACACATACACAAGAGTTTCATTCAACTATCTTCTAAAATGGGACGATGTCGGCTAAGAAGGCCCCAGTCAGCAGAGAGGGAATTAGGAGATGCAAAATGAATTCCAGGGGAGGGAGCGAAGATTTCAACAGCTGGAGACGTTTTTTAAGTGGATATTGGGCTTATTTTAAAGAACACAAAGACTGAGGTGCCAATGAAGGAAAGGGCAGGTAGAAGAAACTATGCTTAGCCGGGCTTGTGAAGATAGTTTTATGTTTAATACATCTGGAAAAAAAAAAGGCATATACAAAGAACTCAGACATGGAGAGGGGGGAAAAAAGCATCAGTTCAACACTAATGAGTCTACAAGAATTAGAATCTGGGTAGATCTGAGAAGTTATTAAGCCAGGGGTGTATTTTGGGAAGATCCCTACGAACACTGGAGTTAAGAGATCCTCACCCATCAGGAGACCAAGGATGGGGCCTGGTTTGATCACAGCTTCTGCCAGCCTTCGCCATACCCTACTGACGTTATCTTCTCCGTGTCTCTTTCGGTGTCTTTCCAACTCTCCAACAGCTGAAGGCAGAGATACGTAATATTGCTGATCGCGGGAAGCCTCTTCTTACCAAGAGAACGGATGGTGGAAGAACAGACCCCAGAAACTTGAAATGGCCTTTATAAAAGCAGGCTCTTCTCTCTTTTCCATTAAACATCTCATATATTGCCAGGTGTGCTGGTTTTGTTTTTTTGTGAAACTCAACTAACAACAAAAAAAACCCTCAAAAACATCAGCAATTGGCAAAACCGAGTGGGCTTCCCCCAGTGGGAATAAACGCGCGCAGACACACACAGACACACCAAAAAAAAAAAGCTTTTGGCTGAATGGACCGACGACGGGCTAATTGAGATTTTTGTGTCTTCGAAAAGAGAGGGCCGAGGTTCCCGACCTGCTTTGGAGGAAAGAAGGGAACACGAGAGAGCGCCAAGGCAACTTCAGAGGAGATGCCGCTTCAGAGGAGATGAACTGACACCTCCCTTCAAAAGGAGCACCAGTTTTGGGACAGCCGCTCTCAGCTCGCAGAATCTGCCCCGCGGACTGAAGCCTGCTCAACCCTTCACTTGGAAGCTGGCTGCGGAAATAACACAACAGGCTCCAAAATACGGCCAGCCTAGCAGGGGTGGAAGAGGGTCTGAAGGCTAGAGACTTAAGAGTTAGTCCGTTACAGGAAGAACAAAAATCATTTAAGCATGCCTGAATCTCAAAAACAAACAAACAAACACAAAAACAAATTGAACAGTAAACAAAAACAAAAAAGAAAAAAGAAACCTAGTACTAATCAGTGTCGAGATACATTACTCTATGTTGGTTTCTTAAAAAGAATTAGTCTAACTGAAGGGCACTGGAAGAAAAGGGCGAATGGCTTCGCCTTTCCTACAGAGAGCGCGACGGGGAAAGGGCGCACGGCATTTTGTCATGATTGGGAGGGGGGAAAAAATAAAAATTTAAAAAAAAAAATGAAAATATTGGAAAAATCTGACTCTTTTTAGTTTTGATTTCAACATTGCTTTTAGTATGACATCAACACCAGGCTTGGCAGGAGGGGCCGTGAAGAGGCAAAGACGTTCATAGCAGCGCGCACCTACGGCTCTTCTTCGGTTCCGGGGGCTCCAGAGCAGCCAGTATCGCTTCGTCAAATACATTCTTTAGTCCTTTCTGAAAAGGGGGCAAAGAGAAAGGGGCGGTCTCATTGTCTGGGTTATTCAAAGCAAACAGAATTTAAAACAAACAAACAAAGGGGAAAAAAAGAACCCAACAAAGACAAAATTAAAAACCGAGTTTGGAGGAAAACGGGGAGCGGGGGGGACGACTCTGCTATGAAGCAATATTCCTAGCCAGGTGTGCGTTATGGATTTCATAGGGCCTGGACCGAGTTATTGAAAAGGAGCTTGAAGTTTTAAGATGCGAAGCCCCCCCCCATGCTTAAAGGCAAGAAAGTAAGCCCGAGCACCCCCAAATTTGAAAATCTTGGAGAGAGAGAGAGAGAGCATGAAGCGGGCACTCGCTGATTGTACAGGAGTGTGTGAAGAAATAAAAGCAAGTGTGTCTGATCGTCACCTTTGAGAATATGCGTTATTACCCCGGGGTTTGAAAAGAAAGGAGAAGTGAGTTTTAGGGAAAGGGTCAACCAGGTTAGATCAGAAGCGAGAACGTGGGATCCTTTCCCCCACCCCCCCAAAGTTTGATGGAAAACCCCGATCAGCAGTTACTGAAGCAGCAAAGGAGGACTCAGAAACAGTGGATGGTATAGAGTCAAAACCGGTCCCAGCATGAGAAAATAAAACAGGTTGGAGCGCAAAAGGTGTTAAAACTGAAGCAAATGAAAGCAAACAGGAATAATGCTTCATCAGGCATTTATACAAACAGCTATTTTTTTTAATTTTTGAAATGTTCAGGTACTACAATTGGAGATCATTTCCTTCGTTTGGACAACAGAGGTCAAAAAAAAGTATGAGGTTTCTTTCCCCCCCCCTCCCCCAGAGAAAAGCTTTACATGTTTACAGTGCAAGCTTTAAAGAAGGAATCAAAGTGATTATCACCATGTCACTGGAAAACAGATGTCGGCCCTCGTCAAAGGAGCGCGCGCGCCCCAAACACCGCCCCCCAGAACCCCAACAAACACTGCACGACATCACAAACAGCCAAAAGTATAGCAAAAACCCACTGCACAGAGGAAAAAAAATCATTTTAGTATTACTTGCAGGTCAGCATGTCAGGTACAATCATCATGCAAATACAATTGAGAAAGAGAGGAGAGGAAGGAGGGAGGGAGGAAGGAGGGAGGGAGGAAGAGAAATAAGATTGTACAGTCCTTTTCATTGAGATATAAAAATCCTACCATTATTTTTTCAATTATTCCTCCCAATTTTTTTTTATTATTCTAAGCAAAGCTACCACGGCATCTCTGAGAGACCTACTCGTATAGCTTATTAAAGAGCCAGCAACCCAAAAGCACATTTGAATGGGTCTATTTTCATATTTCGTAGCCACACCCAATTTTTATTTTTATTTTATTAAATGCAGTTTCTAATCCCTTCCCAACCCTCAAAGCTAATACAGAGTTTGCTCTAAGACATGAAGTAAAAGACACAGCTTCTTTCATTCAGGATGGTTTTATTGGTGATGGTGGTGGCGTTTTGTTTTTGTTTTTCAACCAACTTTCTACAGCAGGATAGAGGAAGCAGCAACAAGAAAGGAGGAAAGGAAGAAATGAAAAAAAAAAAAAAGAGGAAACTGTTTTTAGAATATACAGCATTTCCGTTTGGGTTGAGTTTCCGGGGGTTCGAGAGCAGCTAGGATAGCCTCATCAAATACATTCTTCAGACCTCTCTATAAGACAGAGGGAGAGGAGAAAAAGATAGTAGCCTGGTTAGAGGGTTAGAGAGAGATAGACACACACACACACACACACACACACACACACACACACACGCTAGCAAGCAGATACAAAGAGCATTCGGGAACGAAAGGCGTTCAATGAAGGAGATTTACTTTTGGCACAAAGTAGATCTTCGGAGGGAGAAAAGACAGGCAAGCAGAGCACAAGGGGTTAGCATGCGTTCCACCCGAACTCCAGGTTTCCATTGCTATAAATAGAGGCCTTTACTTAAATGTGACATTAAGACTCCAACTTCTTCGCTCTGGTCTAAAGCACATCCACAGAGGGGAAGAAAACAACCTGGTTTTGTGTAGCTGGAGGCTTCAAAAAAAGGTCCAGGCCCAAAGGACTCTCGTTCTGCTCAAAAGCACTTACGATACCACTAAGCGTGAGCCCTACAAACCACAGGATGGTTTCTTCACCAGAGTTACCGCCAGCCAGCTCCCTCGACGGAAACCAACCAGGTTTGACTACGGAAGTGTGAAAAGGAGGAGAGTGCTTACCAACATTTCCTACTGCAATGTGTTACCAAAATTCACTGGATAGGGTGAACCAGCCGTCAAAGGGTAGCCGTTTCCAATTAATAATAATAATAATAATAAAGTTTGAAGGGACCTTGGAAGTCATCTAGTCCAACCCCCTACTCAAGCAGGAACCTTATACCATTTTAGACAAGTGGCTGTCCGATCTCTTCTTAAAAACGTCCAGTGTTGGAGCACCCACAACTTCTGGAGGCAAGGGGTTCCACTGATTAATTGTTCTCACTGTCAGGAAGTTTCTCCTTAGTTCTAGGTTGCTTCTCTCCTTGATTAGTTTCCATCTATTGCTTCTTGTCCTGCCTTCTAGTGCTTTGGAGAATAGCTTGACTCCCTCTTCTTTGGGGCAATTCTTCACTTACTACTCTCAGCCCCCCCCCCCTTTCAGAGTTACTTTCTTGTGAGATGGGAGTCTATGCAGATACGATTGACTAAATAAATAATCTGCGCGCTGGCTTTAATATTTCAGCCCTCCACACGCAAAGTAAAATTAGAGAAAGGCCCAAACCTTTTTCCAACAGCTGTTCCCGTACGCCTGGAAGGCTGCTACCCAAGAAGGCATTAATTTGCTACCAAGAAACCCATACTTCCAGGGGAAATTAATTACATTCGTGTTTAGGCAGCTCCCTCCCAATTTTCTGGGGGCGAGGGAAAACTACGGCAGCTCAGCGGTTCCAGCGCGAGAAATTCAACCTCTGGGATTCTCAGGTCAACTCCAGCAGTTGCAGACATCCCAGGAATAAGGCAGACAGAAATCAAAACAAAAATAAAATTGGTTCAAATAAAATGCCTTGCTTCTGTGGGCAAAAGTCACATCAGCACGCAAAGCCCCGATCTGCAGCAACAGACTGTTTTCTAAGAAAAGAAACGCCACCCGCCGTAGCCAGCTGTGAAACTAGATCTGTCTAAATCTACTGTGAGATACAAAATGATCTTGTCAGAATGACCTGAGAATCTTTTATGACCTGTGTATTCCCAAAGCCCTCTTCCCTAGTACAATGGTCTCCAGAAAAGCTTTCAAGCATCTGAGTATTTATGAAAAGGCTCTCTAAAAGCTCGTTTTGCAAGAAAAATGAGAATTTTGGAGTTTTAGGACCAACTAATTGCTCCTAGGAAGCTAATGTGACATGAAACAAGCCACTGAATCAGATTTCCTATTTACGTATCAGGTACGGTATTTCCTAGCAAAAGTATGCATTATTCCCTTATTAGAATTGTCGAAGTATAACTGATTTATAATTGACACTATGATACATTTTAATACCTAGCACCTTAACATAATTAAAAATCTTCCGTTTCAGAAAGGATTTTACATGGTTTCAGAATAAATTGAGTGCTACCGACTGTAGGTCTTCTTGATATATAGGAGAAAAAAAATCTGAACATATTCATGTTAAAGAGACACGATTAATTCTAAACATGACTGCCATTTCATATGCATATATTTATTTTAATCTGCCTTTTTAAGCAGAAGCATTCTAGAGATTAAGCATAGTATTTAATTAATGGTTGTTGTTTTTTACTGATCCTATCTTTTAAGAAAACCAGCAGGAACATTTAAATTGCACTAGAATGTATTCTAGGCTGTACGTAGCCACAACACTTGAAATCGAGAAAGATTCGACAATTGGAAGTTTATTTTAAAACGAGGCTGAATTGCTGCTTGCATCAAACATGTTTCTGTTTCTTTTTACTTCTGTTTGGTTACTTCTGCTCTTCTTCTTTTTATTTCCCCTTCCTTATGTGCTTTAAAACAATAACAACTTTCTTTTAAAGCTAACCACATTTGCTATGGTTTTTCTTCCTACCCAAGTGCAAGAATTAAGTTCCTCTGTACGTACCTTGATTTCTGCTGCTTATTTTACATTTTGCACTCCAAAAGGCCAAGCTCCTTCTCAAAAATATGTCTAAATACGGGAGACACATTCTCTGTCTCCACCTCCCCCCCCCTTGAAGAAAACATTGCCAAAGCTTTCCCTCACTGACATTATAATGTGGTCCATTACAGGTAGTCCTTGACTTAACAACAGTTCACTTAGTGACTGTTTGAAGTTACAACGGCACTGAAAAAAGGGGCTCATGACCGTTTTTCACACTTATGACCGTTGCAGCATCCCCACGATCAAAATTCAGACGCTTGGCAACTGACTCCTATTTATGACAGTCGCAGTGTCCCAGGATCACGTGATCCCCTTTTGCGACCTGAGAAGCCAAGTCAAGGGGGAAGCCAGATTCACTTAACGACCAGGTCACTAATTGAACAAATGCAGCGATTCCCTTAACCGATGTGGCAAGGAAGTTCGTTCAACGGGGCAAAACCCACTTAACAAGTGTCTCGCTTAGCAACAGAAATTTGGGGGTCCCTTGTGGTGGTAAGTCAAGGACTACCTGTCATTTATTCCCCCACCTCGTCCTTTTAATGCCGGGTGAGAACTCCGAGGGCTACAATTTAAAACTGTGTGTATGTAAGTAGTACCACCCTTTGGCTCTTCGGTAATTCCCTGAAGGTGCTCAGTTTTCGACAGCATTTCGCAATTGTGAGGCTGTGTTTGTAATCATCACACTTTGAAACTCGGGCAGTTGGGCCCCCCCTGCCCTTCCTCCATCCCACCAATTTCACCTGCCCGCCATCACCATCGTCGCCCCTCCCTGTCTCCTGCCATCGCTGATCTGTTTCTCTAGGAGCCCTGAGCTAGGAGAGCGCAATTATCCGGCAACGAACTAGACACCATGACAAATGCATCCATACAAAACCCTTTCCATTGGCATCCAAGACCACAATCCTCATGAGACATCCAGTTAAAATTCTGCAGGGTGAGGCTGACAGAGATTCGGGGTTGCCCGACAAGCCTAACCGCTTGTTTTAAGCTGCCACCCACTCCTTCTGCCTTGGCAATTATCCGACTTGTCTACGAAGAGCTCAGGATATATGGAGATACCGGCTCCGCCGGCAATCAGGTTCCAAATCGGTGGGAAATTAAATAGCAATGGTTGGAATTTATTCTTTCGGTGCCCTTAATGGTTAATTAACGGTGACACCCTCGTCGTTTGCTCTGTGCAATCCAATTTGATGGGCTGTTGTTTTGTTTTTACACCAGGTGCAAAAATTGTTCCGAAAGATTTGACGGGTTATCGGATCCCTACTGTGAGAATTTCCGAACGCAGCACAAAACCAACCACGAGAATCTTCCAAGAGGAATTTCAAACCTGCCAACCCCCATCGCCCTCTGAGGTCCCCCCCCTCTTGCTAACAACAGCCATGCGGATGGATTTAAAGAGGGGGCTTACTTGTGTGAGCGCAGAGCATTCCACGTATTTGACGGCCTTCAAGTCCCGGGCCAGTTTCTCCGCTGCCTCAGGAGTGATGGGCTTCTGCTTATTCTTGGCAAGCTTCTCAATCGTGGAGGGGTCGTCTCTGAGATCAATCTGCGTCCCGACGAGCAGAAATGGAGTCTTCGGACAATGGTGAGTGATCTCAGGGACCCACTGAAGAGGGAAAACGTACCGGTCACAAGGTAAAAATCAACCACGCGAAGGGAGGCACTGGGGTTGTTGCCGTGAGGGTTAAAAGCCGCGACAGAAGAGAATATTTGCAGCTCAGGATGGAACGATGGAGTCACTCTCAAATCGTGCTTCTTTTCCCTTGTAGACGAGTCATAACCAAACTGGTTCAATACCCTAGTTTGGTAATGAAACGTCCTCCGGAAAGCAACCCAGCTGAGGGAACACCACGGATTAAAAACATTTGCAGCCCGGACCCTCTCACCTTTTCCTTAACGTTCTCAAACGAAGAGGGCGAGACCACAGAGAAGCAGACCAGAAACACATCTGTCTGTGGGTAGCTGAGGGGCCGTAATCTGTCATAATCTTCCTGTCCTGGGGGAAAAAAAAAATAAGAGAGACCGACGTTAGAAACCCGGTCACGGGGTGGAGGAAAGGGTACAAAGAACAAAATTTTATCTAGGTATACAGGTAGCCCTCGATTTACGACAATCGACCGAAATTTTTTTGATGTTGCTAAGTGAGAAATTTGTTAAGTGACTTTTACGACCTTTCTCGCACACAGTTGTTAAGTGAATCACTTCCGGTTGTGAAGTTTGAGTCACATGGTTTGTGAAGTGAATCTGGCTTCCCCATGGATTTTGCTGGTCAGAAGGTCGCAAAAGGGGATGGCCTGACCCCGGGACACTGCGACCGTCATAAATACGAGTCAGTGGCCAAGCGTCTGAGTGTTGATCACGTGACCCTGCGGGACGGTCGTGTGAAAAATAGTCCTAGGTCACTTTTTTACAGGGCCGTCGTAACTCCGAACGGTCACTAAAGAAAGGGCTAGCTGTACATCTGTTAGAATTTTAACTCTGGTAGATCGGTCTGAGAAAGGAATTCTTACTGAAGAGATTTCAGCAAAATTGCTCTCTCTTCTTTCAGGCAACTCAAAGTTTAAGCTGTGCACATGCCCAAGGGAAGCATCCGCTTCCACCCCATGACTCAAGAATCCCAAACGATACCATGTAAATTAGCGGAATGTAGTTCCCAGAATAAAATTTAGTTGCACTTTCAGATTGCGGCTCATAACAGGATGAATGGCAGAGTTATCTACCCTTGGGCAGAAAAATCAAGGCTTACTCCAAGGCCAGACACAACATACTGTCATTCTCCACTTTCTCCGGAGAGATCAAGGCGAGGCTGGGTAAATAAATTTAATGTTGCAGATCACTATCTATTCCCCAAAGAAGCAGAAGGGGATCCCGCTTCTGAGAAAGCTGTACATTCCCTAAAAGTTTCCTTACTATCTGGGGATCTGCCACACTTGCAAACTGAGATATGCAAAGCAGGAAATGACAGCTGTGTGTCATTTCCCAACTAAGAAATTCTGGTGGATTCACTCATTGTATTCATAGAATCCTAGGGCTGGAAGGGATTTTAAAGAGGATACAGGAGAAAAGCAAGAACTATCCACCAAGTAGTATTTTATTCCTTTCCTCTGCTAGAGAGGCTTCCAAAACAGCTTACAAATTAATTAAAAGGCAGTCCCACAAAAGGACAAGGGGGTGGAAAGGGACAACAAACAAACTAGCATTCTTTATACTATACCAGTTTGGGCAGATATAATATTACTCTGATATCTGGCACACTTATAAATTGAAGTTTATTTATTAAAAAAAAAACCCAAAATCAACAGTCACTATAAACCCACATCATCTTCTTCATCAAAGGATGAACAATTGAAAAGCAGTTACCTGCTGTATCAAACAGGCCTAAGGTATACGGCTCCCCGCCGATCATCACTGTTACAGCATAGTTATCAAACACCTGGAGAGTTAATAGACAAGAAACAACTTTCAGAATCAATTATTCTCTTCCAAACACAAAACATACCTGGGACTCAAATCAACTATTTATACAGAAATATGAACCTGGAAGAATGCAGCAGAACAAATCCATCCATCGCTAATGGGTTTCAATAACAGTCTAATCAAGTTGGGAAAAGCAATTATCTCCTTTCAGAGTTTGCTATCACTAAGTTAATCAGCAAAATATATCCTTAACCAACAGGCAACAGCAACAGTGATCATAGGACCCAACCTGCTTTACTCAGAACCATTATTTTTAATCAAACAATTAAGTCAGCATGTAATTACAATACTTTAAGATTCCCACCTACAAAGCAAAGGCCTTTTAAGAAAAACTAGCATTCTGACATTTGACATTTTAAAATACAATGTTGTTATAGATTAAATATCTTGGTTTAAATAATTTTCCAAGTAGTGAAACATACCAGGAAACTGAATGCTAGGTTTTCCTTAAGCCTGAAAGCTTAAGGAAAGTATCACACTTGTCACTTGTCACGCAGGCTTTATTTCATACATATATGTCTAATTAGCAGTGACATAATTCTCTGTTCCTTAACTTTGTACAAGAAAAAAAGGAAGTACCACCTTTTTACTCACCGTTGGTACATATTCAGAGGGAAATTTATTTGTTGTATAAGAAATTAGAAGACATGTTTTACCAACAGCACCATCTCCCACAACGACACACTTAATTGTCTGCATAGTTCAAGTTTCTTGCTAAATAACAGGTCCAAAATTAATCTGGAAAAAAAACATTATGTAATGTAATTAATTACGTGAAGGATAGAAAATATTTCAGCATTGCATTTTCTGCATAGGCCTCTCAAGATATTCAGCTACAGTGATAGAACCCCCAAAAAGCAGATCAAAGAGAATGGGATCATGAAGGGGAGAGTAAAACCATTTTCCCCACATAATCTAGCTGATTATAAGATTCCAAATTATACTTTAGTTTTGTTCCCTCGCAAGGAAAGTTCCAGGAAATCCCACAAAAAATTGCTTTTCACAAGGGATCCTGGGTGATAGAAACATTGATGAAAAGGCTCTAAATCACGACTAACAAGAAGCTGAAAGCTCTCTTTCCCCCCCCAAACAGAAAATGACAGCATTTGCATAATAAGCCTTGTACAGGTTTTTCTATAAAGCAGGAATATGAAACAAGAGGTTATGTAGTACAATGTAAGTACGTTATATTACACATTGTGCAGTACAATGTAAAACTTTTATTCTTCGTACTAGCTCTAAACTTCATGCCAAAGTTAGAATCTGGTTTTAACCACAAGAACTTCCCTTCCTGTTTTTACAAGTAGGCACTCAGAGGTAACAATCACATCCCAGCTTATTGCTATCATTTGTACATTACACCAAAGAACATGCTTTTTCAGGATGCTGAAATTTACCAACACCAAAATCCTTGTGCAATTTCTAAATTCTGCTACAAGTCATTCCAGTTCTTGGGGGGGGGGGGAATGGAAAACCAGATGCAGTTTTTTCTTATTCTTCTGATGAAATCTTCAAGGTTCGTACACATGCATGATCCTATTCCCTCAGTGACAACTTTTCTAAGAAATCCAGAAGTTCTTAGAAGTTGGCTCATTCATCATCTAAATGTAGAGATGAATTATTTTTAACAGCAGAGATTTATACCAAGGAATGACAATACTGTATGGCCCCTCCTATTAATGGGAGTGTCCCTCTGCATCACTGAACTTTGACTGGTTTCTTTTCATCTTTCTTAACATCAACGGGCCCAGCCACAAGGAAGCAGAACTGCAAAAATACTGAGGACTATTGATGTTGCATTTTAGGGAATTGGAGTAAATAATAATCATAATAAAAGCTTGCTAAGATTTCTTATTAGAGTCTCATCAAGACACATCTCCCCAGAATATATGATTATTATTTTTTTCTGCAGGAGCCCTGTTATGCAGCCACAGTAAACCTGGCCTATTTGTTTGTACACAAACTTTACTCTACATTGTGGTACAACATCTATATACTTCTGATTATTTTTCACTCAGGTTTGTTACATTTCATCTTAAAATCTGGATTGTGGACATTGTCTGGAGAGAGAAGAATAGAAGAGGAAAAACTGGAGGAAGTTGTAAAATAATAAATATCTGCAAACAGAAGCAGAACAACGGTGGCAAAAGAAAGCAAAGATAGTACCAATAGGAATAGACGCCTTGGGTGCAATCCCAAAACATCTGGAGCACCAGTATGAGCATTGACCAAATTCCCATCAGTCAACTGCAAAAGCCACTTTAGGGAAACAAATCTTGAAATTGCCTATCATATCAACATTTGCTTCTTATAACGCTGCTTTCTCCACAAATGTACAGTATATATATAGCATACAATATGGTTGAAATTGGACAGCCTACATCCAGTATTAAGCAATATCTAATTCTTAGCATATGTACAATTCCAGTAACTGCCAAATACCATAGGATTCGTTGCAAAGCAAATTTAATTACTGCTATCCATCTCTTGACATTTAAGCTGGGACTAAAAAAACTGTTTTATTACATATTCTGCACAGAAGTTGAACAACTCCTGAGAGGTTTTTATCATGACATGTTTGAACACATTTTTCCAAAACAGGGTGAATATCTAAATGGTATTAAGACTCAGGTCAAAATGACTGATCAGAGAGAGACCAATCAACACAAAGGAATATGACTGGGGAGAAATCAACACGCCGATTGATCTTCCTTCCCACTCACCAACACAAACTGATGGGCAGAAATTTTCCAGCCCTCTGTGCAAACGCAAACAAAAAGGAAATTTTAAAAAACGTAAGCAAACCACAAACAAAAGTAGATTTGCAATCCTTCAAGTTACTTGCTCTGCTGCTTTATGCCTGCCTGGCAACCACACAAAATGGGTGCCCGGCTAGGACAGGTAAACAGAAACTTTTGCAGGCACTTAGCCCACCCACTCCTTCCCCTATCTGAGGTCAGCCTTCAAATGAGCAAAGATAACATTAAGGGCTCCTCCTTTTACTTCAATGCCATCTCAGGCTGTGCTTACCTTCGAAACCTCTCCCTATCTCTTTCCTTCACACAATTGGGTCCACACACCCCAATCTGGATAGGTAATAAAACTTAAGCTTCGGTGTGGCCCATTTGGAGTGCTTCATATGTCAAGGAACAACACAGAAACTCTTTCTTATTATCCTGAGATGGGGAACAAAATGAGATTTCTTTGTAGGTTCTTTTGCATTCCCAGAACAGATGGCATAGAAAATGGGGACTTTCTAATTCAGAGTTTTTCTATATTCAGCTTAAAAACAAGGCATAAACTTTATGTTATAAATACAGAGAGCTACTTCAAGTTCAATCTACAAAGAATAAGTGTTTAATTGAAGGCAAGGTAGCTTCATAGCTTCATTTTTTTCAGAATGTCCAAATTCCATGTATGGTATCACTCAGGGGACACAATTGTAGATTGAAAATAAAATATGAATTCAAAATATTGACCTAAACAAAATATTGGACAGAGCATTATGAGACAAATTATATACTGAGTTCATTCACAAAGAATACCAAGGAGACCTCAGTTTTAGCTCTCTACAAATATTATATACTTCTAAGGAGCAATCATTAAAGGGCTATCATTTCCACATTACAAGTGAGCCAATCTCCATTTAAATACGTAGAAAAACTAATTGTTTAAAAAATGCTCTGACTCAAAACTCACCATGTCATTATGTAAGAGAATTCACTTTTATGATTCCCATAACTGCTTGCTTAAATACTAGTTACCAATATAACTGTATAATCTGTATTTATGCTGTTGGCTCCCCTAAATTATTTCTAAATTAAAGGCATTAGTTATTTTTTATCCTAGACCAAGAAAATAAATGGGCATTTAAACTATAAAAATTCTATAGGATTAAGGAAAAATCTTCCCCAATGTAACTTATAGTGCTATTTAAATCAGAGCTTTTACAATCCCTTTACTTCTGACCTTGAGAAATATCATGCAAGATATTCAAGTTAGTGATGACATAGTATAATCCTGTCTTTTTAACCTATGAAATACAAGGCTACACACCCATCCTTGAAACAGTGGGGTTCAAAAGCTGCAGAAGCTTCCTCTAATACAGTAATGAGAAAACCTCACAGATGCAAATTTGCATGAGGCAGAGGAGCAAAACTTCAAGTGCTGCCATTTTGCCTCCTCTCATTCGGGCAAAAAGAAAATATGTCAAAACTTACCAGCCAGAAATCTCCCATTAGGGGTCTGCAAATTTAGCAACTTTTAAGACTGGCGGATTTGGCCGCATGGCTGCCTGAGAATTCTGGGAGTTGAAGTCCACAAGACTTAAGTTGCCAAGTTTGCAGACCCCAGAGGCAGGCCATTACATTTTGGGTATATACAACATACATTCAGTACTGTACAGGAAGGGCTATTTCCTCCCTAAATTAATTGGAGTTTAGCTCCAGTGCAAAAAACCCCCTCATGACTGACATTCAATGGACAATGCAAAAGAGCCCTGAACTGGATTCCCAGCACTTTGTTCACGTTTAAACCTGTTGAGATGTTAATGGGGAGGCTGAGCAGGGTTGCCTTCAGCCCCATGGTGCAGCCTAGCAGAAGTGGGTGAAATCCCCGGCTGCCTCCTGGCCTGTCTGCTGTCCAGCCAGGGCCCTATAGGGAAGTCGGCCCACCCCTCACCTGCCCACCTTCCCCCTCCCACACCGTCAATCTGCCCCCTTTCCTAAAAACCCCCCACCAGCCCCATCTTTCCAAGCCAGGAGAGGAGGAAGAGGGAGTGAGGGAAAAAAATGGTAGGGAAGGAAGGGGAGGAGGAGAAAGGAAGGAAGGAGGATGGAAGGAAAGGAGGGGAAAGGAAGGGGAGGAGGGGAAAGGAAGGAGAGGAGGAAGGAAGGGGAAGAGGGGAAAGGACAAAGGAAGGAAGGGGAGAAGGAGGAAGGAAAGGAGGGAGGGGAAAAAGAGGGAAGGAAGGAGGGAAAAAGAAGGAAGGAGGAAGGAAAGGAAGGAAGGAGGATGGAAGGAAAGGAGGGGGAAGGAAGAAAGGAGAGGAGGAAGGAAGGGGAAGAGGGGAAAGGACAAAGGAAGGAAGGGGAGAAGGAGGAAGGAAAGGAGGGAGGGGAAAAAGAGGGAAGGAGGACGGAAAGGAGGGGAAAGGAAGGAAGGAAGGAAGGCCTCTCTTCCCAGCCGCCCCCTCCACCGCGACGAACGCCGGGAAGGCGGCTGGGAGGACCCCTCCCCCCTGTCCTTCCCTTATCCTCCCCTCCCCCAGCGCCGGAAGAGAGGCCGATCCCTCCCGCGGCCCGGCTCTCTCTATGGCCTTCCGGGCCTCTTCGCCCCCTTCCTGGAGCGGCGGCGGCGGGGGGGGGAACGAATACAGACAGGCGCCTCCCCCCCCCACGGGAGACCCCCATATCGGAGGGGGGGTCTCCTCGCCCGCTCGGCCTTCCTTGCGCGCGCAAACACACACACACACACACACACACCGGTTGCCCCCTCAGAAGCGCCTCCCTCCCCTCCCCGCCCGAACTGCGTGCCTAACTCCAAGGCCCATCCTCCCCGGCCGCCGCCCGCTGTGAGGGGGAGCCGGTGGTGGTGGGGGGGAAGGGAAAGCGGCCCCCTCCCCGACCGCTTCCTGCCAGCGGTATCCCGCCTCCCATCCTCCCCGCGCCAGGACAGGCCCCGGGGAGGATGGGCGTTGTAGTCCCGCCGGCGTCCCCCTCCCCCTTCCGGTAGGGGCGCCCCTCCCCCTCGGGAAAGGGCCGCGCTCCCCTCCCCCACAAAAGCTGGGGCGGCGGACGGAGGGGGGGCCGCCCTCCCTCCCGCCGACCGACCCGGGGGCGCCCCGGACGCACCGCGGCGGACGCCCGGCTCTCGCCTTTCTCGCCCGCCCTCCTTCGCCGCCGACCAGGCCGAGAGTCTCCCCGCCGCCGCCGCCGCCTCTTTTACCTCAGAGCGCTGCTCCGCCGGGCGTTGGCAGCTCGCTGCGGGGTCTCCTCGCCTGGGCAGCAAGGGCGGGCGGGCGCGCTTACGTCACCGCGTCCCTGCAGAGGCGGGGCTTCAGGCGGCGCGAGGGGAAAGGAAGGCCCGCTCCTCGCAGGCCACGCCCACCGGGGAGGCTCCTCCCTCCGCGGGTGGACTGGGCCGGCAGGGGGCGCTCTGCTCCGCTCTCTGGGAGGGGTTGCCTCTTTAAAGGTGGGTGTACGGGGTCACCTGCATCTGGCACACGTGTATTTGTGTGTGTGTGTGGATAGGTAGGTAGGTAGGTAGGGACATAGATAGATAGATAGATAGATAGATAGATAGATAGATAGATAGATAGATAGATAGATAGATAGATAGATAGATAGATAGATAGATAGATAGATAGATATAGATAGATAGATATAGATAGATAGATAGATAGATAGATAGATAGATAGATAGACAGATAGACAGACAGACAGACAGACAGATGTTGGATGGATAGATATAAAGATAAATAGATATAGAGAAATGATAGGAGTTAGAGATAGATAGACAGATATACATACATACATACATACATACATATGCACACACAAATACACATTTCATATATATATATGTGTGCATGTGTATCTGCAAGCATGCCTCTACATGTGTGTATACACAAAGGCTAGTGCATGCATGTATGCCTTGATGGGTGTGGGTGGGTGTGTCTGTGTGTATATATACATGCGATAGTTTATCTGCATCTATGTCTCTGTGTGTATATAAACCCTTGCCTACACACAAATGCGAGATGCAGAGTTCCTGTATATACTGGACATGCACAGATATGTCCGTGTGGGTATATGAATTGTATACACACCAATACACAGGCGTATGCATGCCTCTGTGTGTGCTAGATATAGTGTGTATATATTGTGTGCATACATGCCTCTGCGTGGACACTTATATGCTAGATGTGTGCATGTAAGTATATACGTATTTTATATGCTGTCCACCCGCATTCAGCTGCCCAGGCAGTGTATATTCATATTTCGCTACCTGTGAAGGAAAAATGGCCTTGAGTTATATATAACTCTGTGCTGCTTTAAAAAGTGTCACTTAGTGGCAAAGTCCTCAATTAGTGACTGTTCAAATTTACGCCACTGAAAAAAGTGACTTGCGACTGTTTTTCATGCTTACGACCACTGAAACTCTGCCATGGTCACATGATCAAAATTCAGATGCTTGGCAACTGACTCGTATTTGCGACGGTCGCAGTATCCCCCGGGGATCGTGTGATCCCCTTTTTGCGACCTTCTGACAAGCAAAGTCAAGGTGGAAGAAGCCAGATTCACTTCACAACCGTGTGACTAATTTAAACGCCACAACCATTCTAGAGAAAAGGCATCTACATTTATGGATGACTGGAAACCCCCTCGTAGACATTTCACTTTTATTAGATTTTTATTCCATTATTTTTATAAATAATTCAAGGCAGCAAATTTATCCAGTAGTCCTTCAGCGTCCTATTTTCCCAGCCCTGTGAGGTGGGTTGGGCTGGGAGAAAAAAAGAGAGACTGACCCAAAATCATTTCATTTTGTATGAAACGGGGGGGGGGGGGGGAAATACACTCATGGTTTGGATTATAGGGGAAAAAATGGAAGAAAATGGAGCTTTTTTGTAATCATCAAGCAAGATCATTTTGTAATTATGTTTGCTGTACAGGAAATCGGAAACTTCTTTGCATTTTTTTTTATTCTTTCTCATTGCACTTTTATGTTTACTTTTTTTCCTTCTCTTTCTTTCTTTTGTTCTATTTCAACTAGTTTATGTTCATTTTTAGGTTCTTTATTTATTTATTTTTAATATCCAAACTGTTAGGACCGAGATCTGTTGCCCCATACCGGACACTCGTTAAAACATTCTTAATAAATCTGCTATAGGAAGAGAATTTTGTCCTCAGTGCAATGGGAAACTCCTAATTAAATTTCCTTCCTCTGATTAAAAAAAAAATAAAAAATAAAAAAACAACAACTGTGGTTTTCTTCCAGTCCAAACTACCACACAGGGGATTATTGAGAAAATGAAAATCAAAAAACCCAAATGTCTTCATTCCAGAAATAAATAATCTTCTCCAGTGGGAACGCAAGACATAAATATAATTAACGGTGCATTGTTATCCCATGGAGCTCAATCGTGTTTGTCGTGGTGGATTTTATCCCTGGGAACGGGGTGGGACTAGATGACCTCCGAGGCCCCTGCCACCTCTTACCTTCTCTGCAAGGGGATTCCCATCTTGGAAAAAAAGGAAAGGCAGTCTTAATCTGGACTGTTCCTTGCAGGAGGTGACACGGATCGAGGCTAAATTACTACTTTTTTCAGGTCGCTAAATTACTTTTTTTGGGCCACTGTCCCATCGTTAAATGCCTAAAACCGCACAGATGGGGAACTGGAATCTGCCCGATTCCAAAAAATCAGGAATTTTTTTCAGATATCCAACAGGAAATTGTCATCGAGTCGTTTGGACCCTTCCGTTTCTCGAAGGCACGCAGGAGAAGGAGGTTCGCAAAGAGGAGCCCGAACGTCTCCTTAATTTTTCACACGCACCGGTGACAAACCGCCATCACATGGTAAGGCCGCGGAAATTGGGTTCGCCGCAGGGGGGCAAAACGGTTTGTTGGTCCAGCAGCTTCTCCAGGACGTTGAGCTGGGCGTCTCGCTTCTCTGCCTCGTCCGAAGGCGTCCAGGAGAGATCGTGTTGGAGTTTGTAGGCGGCGAGAAACTCGCTGGGGCAGCTAGCCCCCCACTCCTAGACGGAAGGGAGAAAGGAGCGCGTTAAGGAGGTCCCCCGAAAGGAACGGTGTACGAACCCCACTTTTATATCGCGCCAGCATTTTTCAGCTTATAAATACCTTTGGGGAAAGCAAGGAGAAGTAACGCTGGCCCGTTTCTCTCCTGTACAGGTAATAAATATTTCCAGGTTTTTTCACAAAGTTACAGGCCACATGGTGAAGGTCGGCGTCTCTTTTGGCGTCTTCCAGAACCTACAAGGTAAACAAGGACGTATTTTGAGCATAAAAATGGGCCAAAGATTGATTTATAATATTGGGTTACAACTCACAGCCATCCATTCAGTGACCATTCAAAGTACTGAAAAAAGTTTCTGTTAAATTTAAATTACCGAGACAGTTTCTGTTAAAATTAAATTTACCTAGACAGGAATTACAACAATGTTTCTCAACCTCGGCAACTTTAAGCCGTGTGGACTGCAACTCCCAGAATTCCCCCAGGATTAAAGTGACCTTGATAATTCTGGTCTGGCGTTGTGCCCACTATTTACCTTTCTGGCTTGTTCTTGTAAATATCGGATTTGTTCTGCAATGACGGTCAAGCGGCTGCAGGCATTCGCTCGGACAAACTCATCCGCCTGGGGAAAGAAAAGGCCTGCCTCTGAAGCAGCAACTCGGGGTTGGCGTACAAAATAAAATTAAATAAAAATAATAACAGTAAATATTAACGAAATATTAATAAAGCGATTTGCAGATTGAAGCTCAGCGATTATGGAAGAAGAAATCAATGGTTCTGCCAATTTGTGAATTGAATTGAAGATTAAATATATTATTATTACTATTATTACTATTAATATTATTATTATTATTATTATTATTTGCAAAAAGCCACCTTACTATAAACTGCCTATATACTCAGGTGTTACCTTAGCAGCTTTTAAGTCTTTTGTTAAGACTTGAACTGTTAAGCTTTTACCAGTCCGACTGTGAATCGAATTGAAGATTAAATCAATAATAATAATAATAATAATAATAATAATAATAATAATAATAATAATATAAAAACCCCAGAGGAAGAACCCCCTAATGCCTATGGGGGGGGAGGGAAGAACCAGGTCATCAGCAATTCCCCAAAGAAGGGAGAGTTGGGGGCCTGTCGTATATTATACTCGTAAAATTAGGGGTGTGTTTTTTCATTAACCCCAAATAATAGACTCTTATCGTTGGGATTCCTTCGTCCTAACCCACTAAATCTCCCCTGGGTTCATTCTGGACACCCCCGGGGGCCGAGATCCCCCGGCACTCTGCACATGCCCAGAGGCACTCTCGCTCACCTTCTCCACTTGCTCGGCCAAGGCCACCAGATCCGACGGCTGCGCCTTTCGAGCCGCGGGGGTCAGCTGGAGACCCTCGGAGGCGCCCCGTCCGACCAGCGCCGAGTTGTCCGGCGGAGGAACCGGGACGGCGGCGAAACCCGCTTCTCGCCCGGCCGCCATTACCCGGCAGCATAAGCCCCGCCCACTCCGCTTTCCTATTGGACGCCCGCCCGTGCGTCTCGATCAGAAGCGTAGCGATAGAGGCGGGGCGGGAGGAGCGGCGCCGGCTGAGGAGTTCTGGGAAATGTAGTCGAGAGAAACTCCGCGGCGGAGATTCCATCGGCCACGTGGTGCTCGGAGAGAGAGAGAGGGCGGGGCGGGAGAGTGGGGCGTGGCCGGGTGGGCGGAGCTCCAGCCTGCCAGCCCGGGCATTGTGCGCCCTTCTTCGCCCGCCGCCCGCGGAGATGCTGCTCTTGCTGCTTGCGCTGCTTCTGCGCGCGATCCTGTGCCCGGCCGACGGATCGCGCTCCGCGGAGCAGCTCCGCCCGGCCGACGAGCTGCTGGCGGCCGGGGCCGAGGCGTACAGCCGCGGGGACTGGCCCGGGGTCATCCTGCAGATGGAGCGGGCGCTGCGGGCGCGGGTGGCGCACCGGGAGCGCCTGGCCGGCTGCCGCTCGGGCTGCGCCGCCAACCACTCGGCCGAGGATCCCGCGCAGGAGCCGCGCCGCCCGCTGGGCGACCTGCGCTTCTTCCAGCAGCTGCTCCGCCGCGCAGCCTGCCTCCGCCGCTGCCTGCCGGACAGCCCGTCCCGCTACCAGCTGGGCGAGGAGGTGAACCTGGAGTTCCGCAAGCGCAGCCCCTACAACTACCTCCAAGTGGCGTATTTCAAGGTGCGCGGGGGGGGGNTGGGGGGTCTAGGGGTCTGGGAGTATGCGCTGGGGGGTCTAGGGGTCTGGGGAGGTGCGCAGGGGGCCTGGGGGGCTAGGGAGGGTCTCCGTCTCCCCCCCCCGGTTAGCACCGCCTCTGCCCCGGGAAAAGCGCCCTGGCAAGTTTTTCCTCTGCCCTCCCCGCGGCTCTTTCCTCTCCTGCGGCGCCCCTTCGGGTTCCAATCCGAAGCGAGGAAGCGCGCAATCGGGGGAGGGGGGGGCAACTCTTTCGGGGTGGGGGCGGCGCCGCCTGCTCGGCTCTCCCGGTGGGAGGGGCCCGGTGCCACGTCGGTCGAGGGGGCTGCGCGCTCTCCGCTCGCCCCGCCGCCTCCGCTCCGCCGGGTCTCGGCGCCGCCCGCCCCGCGCTGGTCGGTCGGAAGAGGCGCGGGTGGGGATGCGGGACGGGGGTGAAGCCCCCTTCTCTCTCCCCCCCCCGGGCATCTGCCGCTTCCTCGCAGGCTTTGTTTTAGCCGGGATGCCGGGGGGGTTAAGACGAGGATGGAGGAGCCTCGGGAGTGGGTTCAAGTTTCTCCAAGTGGGGGGTTTGGTTTGGTCTCCCGTTCTCTGGGCCTTGACTGGTTTGGGTGTGTGTGTGTGTGTGTAAGTGCCCAAATTGCAAAGTGGAAAGTTTCAGGTCAAAACTCGTGCTCACACACACACCCTCCTTTCTTTCCACTTTCTCTTCTCTTTTCCTTCCTTCCTTCCTTCCTTCCTTCCTTCCTTCCTTCCTTCGTTCCTTCCTTCCTTCCTTCCTTCCTTCCTCTTCCTTTTTTCCTTCCTTTTTCCCATTCATTTTTATTTTCCTTTCCATCCATCACCTCCTTCCCTTCCTTCCTCCCGCCCTCCCTTCTCTCTTTCCTTTCCTTTCTTTTTTCTAACTCTTTCTCTCTTTTTCCATTTTCCGCCCTTCTCTCCTCTACCTTCCTCTCTCCTCCTCTCCCCTTTATTCCTTTCTTCAATTTTCTTCCCTCACTCTACTTTCCTTCCTTTTTTCCCTCTCATTCTCCTTCCTCCTTTCCATGACTGTAGAAAGGGGCAGTAAAGCACTGTGAAGCGGTCTATAAGTCTCAGGGCTAATCCGTAACTTTTTAAAGAGCCCAACCTGATGGGTGAGAATTGATCTTCCCAAAAGGCGACCAGCCAGGTGGTTGTTTAATTTAATAACTCGTTCCTCCTTGTTGCCGTTGGCCAAATGCAGTGGCACTCTTTGAAATTTTCAGGGATGGAGGGCCAAAAAAAAATAAATCTGAATTTCTCTTCTTTGTCAGATCAACAAGCTGAGCAAGGCCGTCGCGGCTGCCCAGACATTTTTCTCGGCCAATCCGGACCACGCCGAGATGCGGCAGAACTTGGCTTATTATCAAATGATGGTTGGTGTCAAAGACTCGGATTTCATCGATTTGGAGGCTAAGCCCCACATGGTGAGAACGCATCGCATTAATTTTTTTAAAAAAATGGAACTGCGGAAAAAGAATGGGGGAAGAATCATACAGGGCATGTCTTTATTCGATTTAAGTTTTTAATTTCGATTACATTTATGATTAAATGTCATCCCACTGTTAGGAATCAGATTCAGAATAGAGCTGGAAGGGACCTTGGAGGTCTTCTAGTCCAGCCCCCTGCTCAAGCAGGAGACCCTAACAATCAATCAATCAGAATAGAGCTGGGACCTTGGAGGTCATCTAGTCCAACCCCCTGCTCAAGCAGGAGACCTTAGGCCGTTTCAGACAAGTGGCTGTCCAGTCTCTTCTTGAAAACCTCCAGTGATATTATAAGTAGTCAAGGACTATTTATAAGAGAATTAATAGCTGGAGATGCTAAAATGGTCCAGTTTTGCTTTCCTGGAGTTTAAAGCTGGCTTTGCCTTCTCTGATTCTCTCTCTAGCAAAATTTCCACCTGGGTGTGAGTTACTACACGGAAGAGAACCCCCAGGCAGCCATTTTGCACCTGGAGAAGGCGCTGAACGAGTACTGGGTAGCTGACGCCGAGTGCCGGGCCCTCTGCGAAGACCCGTATAACTACGATGGTTACAACTACCTCGAATACAATGCTGACTTCTATCAAGCCTTTATCGGTGAGCGCAGGAAAAAAGGACAACAAGTCCCATAAGCCTGGGCAGGAAGCAGTGGGACCCTGGGTGGGAGAAGACAGTGTATCCGGCATGCCCGACTTGGTCAACCCTGCGAAGATTTTCAGAAAATTGGTTATCAGATATTCTGCTCCTGGATATGGAGGTTCTCTTTAGCTCATCCCGAAATATGTTTGTCCTCCTATTTTAATATGGCTTAAAACGAAGATGCTTTTCTAAGGAGAAATGAAACGGGGCCTCGTACGGAGAGGGGGATGAGAGGCATTCACTGCGGGGGAATTCTGGGAGTTGAGGACTCATGACTAAGGAATTCTGGGATTTTTATTTATTCGTTTAAATTTATTATGAGCGCTCCATTCCAAGGGACTCTGGACAGTGTAGGAAACCTCCCAAATCCATGAAAAAAGAGAGATAACATTGAAAATCAACCAGAAAATGAAACCCATAAATGCTGGCTAGGGAATTCTGGGACTTGAAATCCACACATGCTGGCTGAGGAATTCTGGGAATTGAAATCCATATATGCTAGCCTGGGAATTGTGGGAGTTCACATGTGCTGCTGGCTGGGGGATTCTGGGAAATGAAGTCAAAATAGGCTCATTAGAGATTTCAGGAAGTTGAAGTCCCCACATGCAGGCTGGGGGATTCTGGGAGTTGAAGTCCACCCATTTTAAAGTTGGGAAACGCTCCCCTGTCCTAGAACGATGCCCGAACACTCGATCAAGATGGCTTCCTGTGAATAATCCCCTTTTGGGGGGGGGTCTTTTTCATGGCAGATCATTACACCCAAGTGTTGAGTTGCAGGCAAGGCTGTGTGAACGAACTGGCACAGGAAGCCGGTCAGGAGAAACCCAACGAAGATTTCCTCCCGTCTCATTTCAACTATCTGCAGTTTGCATATTACAACAGTATGTGGGGTTGGGGAGAGAAGGGAGGGGGGCGTTAATTGCACCCCACTTTGCCTTTCAGGCGAGGAGGGGGTCTCTCCGGGAAGGTGGCTGCCTTTAAACTGAGTTTCGCTGGGCATGTTGGTTTCTTCCTGCAGCGGCTTTTCGGTGGGATGTTTGGAATTATTTCCAAAGCTGCTGGAGAAGTGAGAATATTTCGGCAGCAGAGGCTGGGGATGATGGGCTTGTGGACTCCCAGCTTCTGCAGCTGAAAAGCAATTGTCTGTCAGATGCAGCGGGGAAAATCAAGCCGGCCTCATGATAAGAGTAAATCCGTCCTCACTCATTAAACCATCAATGCTGGCTAAATCAAAGCAGACATGTTCCTGCATGGTCCGGCTATCGCCTTAGTGGGGGGGGGGGAAGCCTTCCCTGTGAAATTATTTTGATATTGTTCCAGTTTTCTCCTAATGCTCCATCACAGGTGGCAACTACGGGAAGGCCGTTGAATGCGCGAAAACGTACCTGCTCTTTTTCCCAAACCATGACGTGATGAAGCAAAATGTGGCTTATTACGCAGCCATGTTGGGGGAGCACCTGGCCGAGCACATCAGGCCCAGAGAGGCAAGTTTTCTCCCCCCCCTCCACCTCCGCATGGGTATCCTCCAGATCTCGGCTGCCGCTGAACTCCGCAGTTACTTTTCCTGAAAGAAAGTAGAGATCATCTAGTCCAGCCCCGTCGAGGCGAAGAATCCAAATTGAAGCGTAGGATGATTAAGGTTGGAGGGGACTTGGGAGACTGTCTAGTCCAGCCCAGGACAGGGAACCAAATGGAAGCATCGGATTCTAGAAGGTTTTAAGATCAGAGGGAACCTGGGAGATCATCTAGTCCAGCCCAGGACAGGAAACCAAATGGAAGCATTGGATTCTAGAAGGTTTTACAATGAGAGAGAACCTGGGAGATCATCTAGTCCAGCCCAGGACAGGGAACCAAATGGTCCAGACATCTTAAACACTGCTTTGGACATTACCTCCATTAGGTCAGCTGGCTGGCAAATGAATCAATCTGATCTCATTTCTCTAATTTTGAGCATTTTCCTGCTTTTTTTTCCCCGCTGCAGAAAGTCCAGATTTATCACCGGCGCAGTCTTTTAGAAAAGGAATTGCTATTTTTCGCCTATGACACCTTCGGGATTCCTTTCATCGATCCGGTAAGCAAAAGCTATATTTTCCAAGGAACAGAAAATAGGTTAAACAAGTTTTAAGGGGATTCTGGGAGTTGAAGTCCACACATCTTAAAGCAGGCCGGCTGGGGGATTCTGGGAGTTGAAGTCCATCCGTCTTAAAACTGCCAAAGTTGAGAAACGTTGGACTGGACAGTGTTTTGTCCAGAATGGCGTGGCTGTTTTTTTTTTTTACTGTCCTGATCTTGCTTCGAAGGACACGTGGACCCCGGAAGAAGTGATTCCCAGAAGACTTCAAGAAAAACAAAAGTAAGTAAGAATGATCCCTGCCCCCGTCATAAATACGAGCCATTTGCCAAGCATCTGAATTTTGATCCCGTGACCGCAGGGATGATGCAACGGTCGTAAGTGTGAAACCGGTCCTAAGTCACCTTTTTCCGGTGCTGTTGCCACTTCAAACGGTCGCGAAACGAATTGCTATAAATCGAGGATTAGCTGTAATGAGCAGAAAAATCACAGCAATATCAGCCCGACATGAATAATAGCGGGGGCTGGACTAGAAGACCTCCAAGGTCCCTTCCAGCTCTATTCTATTCTAATAAGCCTCTCTGGGAAGATTTATCCGCATGGCAGAAAATTCCCTGGCTCGCTGGCAGAATAGCCATTTTTTATTTTTATTTTTTTTGCCCTGGGTGTTAAGCGAATGCTGTGGTCACTAAATGGATCCGTGGGTCCCCAAGGGTGCCTTTTTTTCCCCCTTAAAACCGGAAGCCGATGCCCGTTTTTCAAAATTTCCACTCTGAACTCCGCAGGATTGAACGCGAGACGGCGGCTCGGATCTCAGAGGAGATCGGTAATCTCATGAAGGAGATCGAGCATCTGGTGGAGGGGAAAACCAAGGAATCTTCCGACATGAGTAAACTCGTACGGGAAGGTGAGGCCCGAAAATTGGGGTCCTGGGAGATCCTAAGTCGCGACCGTCGTAAATACGAGTCAAGGGTTTGTGTTTTTATTTCCCGCCAATCCTCAGGGGGTCCATTGGTGTACGACGAGCTCAAAGTGACCATGAACTCCAAGGTCCTGAACGGGTCCCAGCGTGTGGTGGTGGACGGACTCCTCTCCGAAGAAGAGTGCCGGACGTTGCAAAAGCTCACAAATGTGAGTAACGCACCATGGGTTTTGTAATCCCTTAAGCCTTCCCCTTGTTGTTTTGTTCGTACTACTTGTGGTGATTTGTTTTGGCCACTAGATGGCAGCGTTGCCTTCTCTGCCTGAGTAAAGAGCCAAAGTGAACTTAAAAATTCCTCTTTTTTTTTTCTTTTTTTGGGCATTTTTATCTTTTAAATAAATGGGACTGAGCAAAAGTTTGGAGTTTTCCTTCTATCGCAAAACTGGAGTTTTCTTTTCCCAATCGGGGCAAAAAAAAAAAATGGAACAAATTTTATCTGTGTTATATCTGATATTTGAATTGCAGGCAGCGGCTTCGGCGGGGGACGGTTACAGGGGCCAAACTTCCCCCCACACGCCCAGTGAGACCTTCTATGGGGTGACAGTCCTCAAAGCCCTCAAGGTAACCCTCCGAGAGAGCAGACCTCTGGGATTGGGGAGCCGTTCCCTGAAATCATAGAAACACGGGGTCCTTAAGAGGTCTTCTAGTCCAACCCCCTGCTGGAGACATCATGAGGACTAGAATCCCAGCCTCTGGAAAGACAGGTCCCAAACTGATGCCTAAAACCGAGCATGGCTCCCTCCTCCTCCCGACGGTGGGAGATCCTGGTTTTGAATTTGGGGTGTGACCCCGGGTGCGGGTCTCGCCCACAGCTGGGGCAGGAAGGCCGAGTCCCCATGCAGAGCGCCTATCTCTACTACAATGCCACGGAGAAAGTCCGTCGCGTGATGGAGTCCTATTTCCGCCTGGATGCCCCTCTGCATTTCTCCTATTCTCACCTGGTGTGCCGGACGGCCATCGAAGGTAAGCAGGTAGACAACTCTCTCTGTGTGTGTGTGTGTGTGTGTGTGAAGACCATTGACTTAGACCAAAAAGACACAAAGGCCAGGTTGAGGCTGGGGGAGTAGAAAGGAGGGGTGAGAATCCCACCCCCCTAAGTTTTTCCTCGCTCGGCTTTTGCAGAGCGTGAATTTCTAGCTTGCCACGAGGACTAGAAACTTGCGGCGTCTCAGCTTTGTTTTTTTCAACCCAGCTAGGCAGGATGCCCAGTCTTGGGGGTGGGGGAGACCAGATTGGGGGTTGGGAGGGGAGGAGATCCAAAGGGATCTTCCTGTCTCTCCCCTAGATAAGCAGGCGGACCGGACGGATCCCAGCCACCCTGTCCATGTGGACAACTGCATCCTCAACGCCGAGGCTCTGGTGTGTGTCAAGGAGCCCCCCGCGTACACCTTTCGGGATTACAGGTGAGTTTGCCTGATGAAAGATCAGGAAGCGTCTCCTTTTAGGATCCGGTCGATTAAGCCAAGGGGGGGAAAAAAATCAGATTTTATTTTATTTTATTTTTTGCTCCTTGGGGTTTAATCTCCCAGTAAAGAAAAGCTGTTTATTGCTTCCCAGCGCCATCCTTTATCTAAACGGCGATTTCGAAGGAGGAGAATTCTATTTTACCGAGTTGGACGCCACCACCGTGACGGTAAGCACGTTCGGCGTTTCCAGTTGTGGGGTTCAGCCCCTAGTTTTTTATTTTATCATTTGCATCCTGCTTTGATGCTTAGTCCTCGGCTTACAACTGTTTCATTTAATGACCGTTCAAAGGTCATTCAATGGCATCTGTTGGGAGCCAGCAAGCGAGGGAGCCGTGATGGATTTGGGGAGGGGGGAAAATGAGGATTACCCACTTAACTGCTTTGGGGATCCCCCTGCCCCCCCATACCCCAATTTTCCCTTCAGGCAGAGGTGAGACCCCACTGCGGACGGGCGGTGGGCTTCTCGGCCGGATCGGAAAACCCTCACGGCGTGAAAGCCGTCACGAAGGGCCAGCGCTGCGCCATCGCCTTGTGGTTTACGCTGGATCCCCGCCAGACCGAACGGGTGAGTGCGCCGCCTCTTTGGACCCGGGTCGGGTCAAAAAAGTCAAAATGGCTGCCCTCTCAAAATCATATTTATTTTTTTTTGTATTGGAGGGTCACAAGTAGCTAGTTCTCAATGTCCCTTGGCCCTTCCTCTCCCTGCACTTCCAAAATTTGACTCAGGGCTGCAAAAGAAAATACTTCCTTTTTTCCTTTCTGTTTCTCTGTTATTTTTTTTTCTTTTTTTCCTGTCTTCATTGGAGGGTCGCGTGTAACTAGTCCTCAGTGTTCCTGGCTCCTCCTTTCCGGGCACCCCCAAAATTTGCTCAAGGCTGCAAAAAAACCCGGCTTTTCTTTTCTATTTCTTTACTTTTTCCCCCCCCCTCTCTTTATCAGAGGGTGAAAAGTAGCTAGTCCTCAGTGTCCCCAACTCTTCCTCTCCCTGCGCCTCAAAAACTTGCTCAGGGCTGCAAAAGAAAATATTTCTTTTTCCTTTCTGTTTCTTCTTTACTTCTTTTTTTTTACTGTCTTCATTGGAGGGTCGCGTGTAACTAGTCCTCAGTGTCCCCGACGCTTCCTCTCCCTGCACCTCAAAAATTTGCTCAAGGCTGCGAAGGCTACAGCCCTCGCAGGGCCGTCAAAATGGATGCCGGCTGAGGAATTCTGGGAATTGAAGTCCACGGGTTGCAAAGTGCCTTTTCCAGCCATACTTAGTTAAAACGGGCACCCCTTTTTTTCTCTCTTACCCCCCCCCCCCCTGTTTTACCCCAGGAGAGGATACAAGCCGATGATTTGGTTCGGATGCTCTTCAAAACCGAAGAAACCAAATTGCCCCCCGAAATGGGACCGAGCCCGGAAGAGGCCAAAACGCCCCCCAAAGAGGCCGAAAAGAAAGACGAACTATAGCTCAATATCTGGGGTGCACAGCTGGTTCAAACAGCAGGATTTGGGGGCACCGAAACAATGGGGTGTGGATTATTGGTCTCGGGGGCAAGAGAGAGAGAGAGAAAAAATTAACTGTAAACAGCTCCCAGAATATAGGCAGGAGATATCGGGGTACCCCCTTTCCCCATTCCTCGAATGACGGTGCTCGCAAAGTCATAGCGGACCTTGGAGGTCCTCTAGTCCATCCCCCTGCCCCAGGGGGATGGACTATCCTTGCTTCGGATAAAAAATTTTCCTGGAAAACTTCCATCTCCAGGAGACAGGCTGTTCGTGTCCCTTAATAGTCCTCGACTTAGTGACCGTTCAAAGTTACAATGGCACTGAAAAAAAGGGCCGGTGTTTCAAACTTACGACCGTCACAGCCGGGATCAAAAATTCAAGTGCTTGGCATTTACTCGCTGTAAAGGCATTTTTTGCAACGCTCTTGGCTCGAACTTGCCTTTGAACTCTTTAAACGCGGATATTTTGAGCAGGACAATTTTAGACCGGAGAGAGAAGGAAAATTTAATTAAAGAAAGGAAAGGAAAGGTATATTTAAGGCGTGCACTTCGTCGAAAGATTAAAATCCTTGAGAAAACAGCCTGGTTTGTGATCGGCCCACAAAAAAAACAGACCCACAAAAAAAAAAAAAACCGGAAAAGTGAAACAATTGGCCTTTATTGAATTTATTTTACGAGGCTTTCTCCTCAAGGAGAGAGCGAAACACGGCAGAAAGAAGCAGGGAAAAATTCTCATTTTTCTAGAAAAATCAGCAGTAATGTCTCAACCTGGGACACTACTACAGCTCCCATCGTTCCCAGCCCGGAAAAGAATGATAAAAGCTCCCCAAACTTGGCAATTTCCCTTGGCAGCAAATTGGATGGAGCTTGGTCTCCTCCAGAAGTAACAGCAAGCAATTGATAACTTAACTACCGATCCTTGGACTACTTCTCCCATCATCCCCGCCTCTCGCCCATCGGCAAGCGGGCATTTATTAAGCCCTGGGCCCGATTTTACCGTCTCGCTTTTCAACTGGAGTTTCTCTGTCATCCTTTGGGGCAGGACATGCCTAGCAAACCGTGGTTTATCATTTAAGCCTGTCCATGCTGGCTTGTTTTTTCAAACAAACCAGGGTGGGTGAAGTTGGCTAGTGGAGGCATTTGCCCCAGTTGGAGAGGGAGAAGAAAAAAAAAAAGCTGTAATGCACCATGTTCTCAAAATACTAAATCCCGGAATGACCAGTTCCTCCTTCCCTCGTGCGCAATTCTCACTCGTCTCCAACTTGCAAATATTTAACCGTTCTCATTAACAATCCGGTCACGCTCAACTTCTCGGTTTCACCTTAAATCTGCTCCTAAGCGGGTCAGCTGCTTCTCAGGTTACGACCGTTCCCAGAATTCCAAAGGAATTCACGCGTTTTCCCCCCCCTTAGACTACCACAGGGCAGCGTTGCTGGGGCGGCCCTTGAAGGCTGTCTGTTCCTGCCTACGAGCATTTCCCAGTCGTCCATAACGTCGGATGGAGTTTCATAAATTCCCTTCGCCTCCGTTGTTAAGCGAATCAGTGCAGTGCGTGGTCGTTAAGCGAATCCAGCTTCCTCTGTTGACTTTGTTGGTTTGGGGTGTGTGTGTGTGTGTATGTGTGTTTGCAAACGGCGATCACCCGAACCCGGGACGCTGCAAACTATTGTAAATACATGCCAGTTACCAAGAGCCCGAATTTTGTTCCTGTGGGGGCGATGCTGCGACGGCCGTAAGTACGAGGACCGCCTTTTCCAGCCTGGTTGTAACTTTGAACGGTTTCTAAGTGAAGTATAGGTAATCCTTGACTTAACAATCACAACATTTGCCCAACATTTATGTTGCTAAGGGGAAACATCGGTTAGGTGCGTTTTGGCCCCGTTTTACAACTTTTCTTAACCCCTGTTGTTAAGCGGATCGTTGCATTTGTTAAGTTACACAATTGTGAAGCAAAACTGGGCTTCCCCCATTGACTTTGATTGTCAGAAAGTCACACAAGGGATCACGTGATCCTGGGGGGACACTGCGACCGTCATAAATACGAGTCAGTGGCCAAGCGTCTGAATTTGGATCACGTGATTGTGGCCACGGTTGTTTTAAGTGTGAAAAACTTAACGTCAGTCACTTTTTTCAGTGCCAACGTCCCTAAAAGAATGGTTTGAACTTTGAACTGTCCCTAAATGAATCGTAAGTCGAGGACTACCTGTATAACGTCCAACAATTGGAAAAATACATTATTAATGTCTCAGTTCCCTTTTAAGAGTCTCTCTTTGCAGATGTTCGGACATTTCTCCCTCTCCAAAAAACGGGATTTTCTGTACTTTGTTTAGAACTTAAAAACACCGGAAAAGACAAAAAGATCCTTCAGAGGTTCAGTGGTCGGCAGCACCGATCAATAATAATCATAATTGATTAGCTATCAATTAATGTATGATTGTCTCTGACAACGGCTTCCATTGAACGGACACTCGTAATTATTTAAACAGAGACGGATGCCTGATTTTCTTGGAGAAGCTCAAAGCATCTTTTACAAAATGCGACACACACACACAAAAAAACCCATAAAAGTGGCACACATTCTTGCAGGACACATGCCAGCCTGGTGTGTGTCAATGCCTTTTTTTGTTGACAAACGCAACCCACTCGGATTCCAGGCGAAATGGCAAAGCAGCCCCCACAATCTTCGGACACAAAGCGCGCCTTGCATCAAAATGCAACATTTTGACCTGATTAGCATGCTTGCTCATGTTCTCTCTGCCAGCAGAGCCGAAAAATTCGAAGGGGTGTGTTTGTGTGTGTGTGTGCACATGGGGGGGAGTGTGTTCCAGCAGGTCAGGTCTGCAGAATGCCTTTGTGCACCAGCGATCCAGGGCCAAGTTGAATGCTAACGTTTTTTCGGCTTGTGTTGGTGATCTTTACCACCGGATTCCAGGCCTTCGTTCTTGCAAACCTGGTTTGCTATGGGAGCCAACAAACCCAGGTTTGGGGGTCCAGGGGGATCACCGTGGATAGCCACAGGAAGAGGGGAGCAAAAAAGGAATTCCCTGGACCCCAAGTGGGGGGGGGTGAGGTTCAGAGGGGCCAGGATACTTTGTTAGAAGTGAAAAGAGGGACTGACATCCGTGCAGGAAAATCTGGGAATTTCTATTAGAAATAAAACCACAATCTGGACCGTGTTTATCTCGGGAAAGGAAATAAACCAACACATCATTGCGCGTCAGTGTCAAGAAATTTTTTTTTTTGCTCAATCCAAGAAGTCAAGGCAGCATTTAGACTACCTGATTGGGAACTCAAAATTTGGAGAATGGCAAAACTAACTAGGTATAATATTGCATTAATTATGGTATAGTATTATTATGGTATGATACGGTACACACACACATACGTACGTATAGTATATACACACACAATGGAAGGTTAACACACGGTGCTCACCACTGCCTCTCCCATCCTGACGAGAGTCCAGTTCCCATTCTCCGGGGGACATCCTGAGTGCATCCAAACGCTCCTGTTTTCCGGGCTGCTGCTCCCCAGCGCCTCCCCTTGCTCTATCAAAAATCCAGCTCCCATTCTCCCTGGGGGAGAGGCATCCCAAGCGCATCCAAACACTCCTGTTTTCCGGGCTGCCGCTGCCCAGCACCCACCTCTGCCTCTCCCGGTGGTCTCCCATCCTGGCGAGAGTCCAGCTCCCATGCTTCCGGAAGTTTCCCGAGCGCATCCAAATGCTCCTCTTTTCTGGGAGCACCCACCTCTAGCTTTCCTAGTGGTCTCCCATCCTGGCGCGCATCCAGCTTTCCTGCTCCCGGAGGTTTCCCAAGCCCATCCAAACGCTCCTGTTTTCCCGGCTGCTGCTCCCCAGCGCCTGCCTCTAGCTCTCCCGGTGGTCTCCCATCCTGGCTCGAGTCCAGCTCCCATCCTCCCTGCGGGAGGGTGCGCAACCCGAGCGCATGCAAACGCTCCCGTTGTCCGGGCCGCCCAGCACTCACCTCGGGCTCTGCCCGGTGGTCTCCCATCCTGGCTCGAGTCCAGCTCCCATCCTCCCTGCGGGAGGGTGCGCCACCCGAGGGCATCCAAACGCTCCCGTTGTCCGGGCCGCCCAGCACTCACCTCGGGCTCCGCCCGGTGGTCTCCCATCCTGGCTCGAGTCCAGCTCCCATCCTCCCTGCGGGGGGGTGCGCAACCCGAGCGCATCCAAACGCTCCCGTTGTCCGGGCCACCCAGCACTCACCTCTTGCTCTGCCTGGTGGTCTCTCATCCTGGCTCGAGTCCAGTTCCCATCCTCCCTGCGGGAGGGTGCGCAACCCGAGCGCATCCAAACGCTCCCGTTGTCCGGGCCGCCCAGCACTCACCTCTTGCTCTGCCTGGTGGTCTCTCATCCTGGCTCGAGTCCAGCTCCCATCCTCCCTGCGGGAGGGTGCGCAACCCGAGCGCATCCAAACGCTCCCGTTGTCCGGGCCGCCCAGCACTCACCTCGGGCTCTGCCCGGTGGTCTCCCATCCTGGCTCGAGTCCAGCTCCCATCCTCCCTGCGGGAGGGTGCGCAACCCGAGCGCATCCAAACGCTCCCGTTGTCCGGGCCGCCCAGCACCCACCTCTGTCTCTGCCCGGTGGTCTCCCATCCCTGGCGCCCGTCCAGCTCCCGTCCTCCGCCTCCGGCGAGCCTGCCTCCCGCCCCGAGGAGGCGGGCGGGCTCCTCCCGCGGCCAGGCCAAGCCAGGCGAGACGCGGGCAGTGGGGCTCCAGGATGGCCAGCGCGGGGCTGCAGCTGACCGGCTACTTCTTGGCGCTGGCCGGCTGGGCGGCCGCCATCTGCGCCTTGGCGCTGCCCCAGTGGAAGCAGAGCTCGTACGCGGGGGACGCCATCATCACGGCCGTGGGTCTCTACGAGGGGCTGTGGATGAGCTGCGCCGCGCAAAGCACCGGGCAGGTGCAATGCAAGCTGCACGAGTCGCTGCTCTCGCTGGACGGTGCGTGCGCGTGTGTGGAGGCGCTTTGCGCGCGCTCAGAGGCGCGCTCGCCCCGGCAGGGAACGAACTGCGCGCCCTCCACGCGCGCTGACAAAAGCACCCGTGGCTGGGGACGAGGCAGGGGGAAGTGGGGGGGGGGTAGATCTCTCGCTTTGCTTGGCTTAGCATTTCTGCTTTTTTTTTTTTAAAACCCGGGTCGTGGGAAACGGAGCTCCGACACGCGTGAAACTTTTTTGGGAGGCGACGGTGCGGGGAAATTTGGTTTTTTTTGGCTCGGCTCCGAAGGCTTCAGTCTTTCAGGCTTCCCGACCTGTTTTTTTTTCCTTCTTTTCTTTTTCTTTTTAACCCGGGTCGTGGGAACGGAGCTCCGACACGCGTGAAACTTTCGCGCCTTCAAAATCTGTCTCCCGCGGCTTGTTTGGCCACGGTGAGAATATTTGGATTTTGTGCTCAGCTCCAAAGGCTTCCCGACCTGGGTTTTTTTTTAAAAAAAAATGTTTCTCTTTTTTTCCTGGAAGAATTTCGTTTCTGTTGACTTGGGTCCTGCCCGGCTGGGCGAGGATGTCCCGGTCGAGGGAGCGGCGTGGAACAGGAATGCCCCGGGTGGGAGACGGGCGTGGATCCCTGCAAGTTTTTGCCAAAATAAATCTGATGGTTTCGGAGAGGTTTGGGGAGGTTTCCACCCAGGAGGAAAAAAATTATCTGGTCTTCTTCTTACTCTTTTGGATAAATTTGGGGTTTTTTTCCCAATTAAACTCCCAGGCGTGGGTGTCTTTAAGAACCTAAAATTCCCCAGGATAATCCTTGAAAAATTGGATTGGGGAGGGATGTGCCTTAGCTGTTCATTTTTATTTTATTTCTTTACCAAACTTCTCGTCGCCTGGGCATGTGACCATTATTCACACTTAACGACCACGGTCACGTGTTCCGAATTCAGACGCTTGGCAACTGACTCGTGTTTACGACGGTTTTGCAAGCGTCCCGGGGTCACGTAATGCCCCCTTTTACGACCTCCTGACCAGCAAAGCCAATGGGGGAAGCCTGATTCGCTTATCGACCGCGTGGCTAACTTAACAAGTGCAGTGATTCACTTAACAACAAGGGAGGTCGTAAAACGGGGCAACAGCTGTCTTGCTTGGAAGGGACAGGAAATTTGGGGGCTCCCTTGTGGTCGGTCGTAAATGAAGGACTACCTGTATTGACTGCTCCCCCCCCTCCTGGCACGTTCTCGCCGCTTTTCCACTCTGCACGTGATCCAACGCTGCCTTGCCTTGCAGTTCACATCCAGACGTCTCGGGCCCTGATGGTGGTCTCCATCCTCCTGGGCTTTGTGGGGACGATTGTCAGCGTGACCGGCATGAAGTGTACCAAAGTGGGAGACCAGAATCCCGTGGCTAAAAGCTGGATTGCCGTCTTGGGAGGCGTCCTTTTCCTCCTGGCTGGTAAGGGAAAATTTGGAAGCATTTATTTAAAAAACAAAAAACCAAAAAAACACCTAGCCTGAAAATCAATTAATTGGAGGAAGAAATAAGGGCAGGAAACGAAAAAGACAGAGAGAGAAAAAGGCTGAAAGAGGGGAAGGGAAAGGAAAAGAATGGGGAAGGGAAGGGAGCGAAGAGAGGAGAGGAAAGGAAAAGGAATGGGGAACAGAGGAGAAAAAAGAAGGGAAGGGAGGAAAGGAGAAGGAAAGGGAAGGGAGGAGAAAAAGGAAGGGAAGGAAAGGAAAAGAAAGAAAGAGGAAAGGAAAGGAAGCAGGGGAAGGGAGGGAGGGAGGACGGGAAAAGGCATTGTCTGTTGATCTCAGGCTTTACCCTGTGCTGGTCAAGGGCCAAAATAAAGATATTATGGAATTCTTGTAAGGAGGGAGGGACCTGCATCCACATTCTGGTCAGGGGTGGGGGTGAAATAGGGAACAAAATTCCTCTTGTGGGAGTGTTTGAAGGAATTGTGCTGCTGGGTGGAAAGAGAAGAGGGAGGGAAGGAGGGAAGGAAGGAAAGAGAGAAAGGAGAGAGAAGGGAGGGAGGGATGGAGGGATGGAAGGAGAGAAGAAGGAGGGAGGGAGGGAGGGAGGGAGGGAGGGAGGGATGGAAGGAAGGAAGGAAGGAAGGAAGGAGAGAAAAGAGAGAAAAGGAAGGGAGGGAGGGAGGAAGGGAGGAAGGAAGGAAGGAAGGAAGGAAAGAGAAAAGGACAGGAGGAAGGAAGGAGAGAAAAGGAAGGGAGGGAGGGAGTAAGGAAGGAAGGAAGGAAAGAGAAAAGGAAGGAAGGAAGGAGAGAAAGGAGAGAAGAAGGGAGGAAGGAAGGAAGGAAGGAAGGAAGGAAGGAAGGAAGGAAGGAAGGAAGGAAGGAAAGAGAAAAGGACAGGAGGAAGGAAGGAGAGAAAAGGAAGGGAGGAAGGAAGGAAGGAGAGAAAGGAGAGAAAAGGAAGGAAGGAAGGAAGGAAGGAAAGAGAAAAGGACAGGAGGAAGGAAGGAGAGAAAAGGAAGGAAGGAAGGATTTCCCCCCCCCCCCAACACACAGACACACACTTTTATCTTTTTCTCTTGCAGGGCTGTGTACAGCCGGGGCCGTTTCGTGGTACGCCTCACGCGTGACCTACGATTTCTTCAACCCCGGCACCCCCATGAATGCCAAGTGAGTAGAGGCGCCATTTTGGGCCTGCGTCTGGATCGCCTTTTCTAACCCTAAGTTTCCTAATTCGGAATTTCCGTGCCCCGAGCTTTTTTTTCTTTTCTTTCTCTTTTTCTTTCTTTTTTAAAATAACACGGCCACGAATTAGCTTTCTCAGAAGTCAAAACAGGCCATCCAGTCCGCGGGATAACAAACCAGCATTGGTGGGATCCCGGTTAGAACCTGGTTCTGTTTTTAACGAAGCCGGTTTCTTCCAGGTACGAATTCGGACCCGCTCTGTTCGTGGGCTGGTCGGCCGCCAGTTTGCTGATCCTGGGGGGCAGTTTCCTCTCCTGCTCCTGCCCCAAACCGGAGGAAAGGCGGCAGCAGCAATATTACCGCCAGTCGCAACCTTCGACAACCACGACAACGAGAGAGTACGTCTAAGGCCCCCCCCTTGCTTGGATCTCTTCCCGCGTGACCCGGTGGGGACACCTTCCCGGAGGAGGCTGGACACGTAGAACCTGTGTGCCATTCTCAGTTCGGAAGGAGGGCGGGTCAGACTAGATGGCCTCTGGGTACACTTCCCTTTTTACAAGTCTCAGGGTTGCTTTTCGTACAGGAAAGTGGGGGGGTCGGTGGGCTTCCCAATTCACGCCTGGGAAAGCACTGGGCCCCTCCCCCCTTCCCCCCCAGCTTTGCAAAAAATGGCAGGGTGGGTGTGCACAAACACACACACACACACAAACACAGCTTTCCTCGCATTTATAGTTTTGCAACTAACAGCCCTCTTTTTTTTTCTGTTTCCCCCCCCTTTTTTCCCTTTTTTCAGGCCCCCCGTCAAAAGGGGCAACCAGTGCGTATAACACCTTCCGATATGTGAAGCCCAAGAAGGTGGTAGTAAAGATCTTAAAATAATTTTAAACTTAAAATTAGTTTTCCAACATTCAGGGTGTCTTTTTTTGTGTGGGGGGGAAGTGAAAGGCAGAAAAGGAAACCGCCGTTTTTGGTAGAATAAAACCGCTTTTTAACTTTTGTGTGTGTGCCCCATTTGATGAGATCATGTTCTACTTTTTTTAAAAATAAATGAGTCAATAAATTCTTGTATTCGGTCGCTTTGTACTGTAAGATGGTCTTCTTAAAACATTTCCGTTGGCAACTCTTAAAAGATCTATTCTGATTGATTGATTGATTGATTGATTGATTGATTGATTGATTGATTGATTGATTGATATGGTATAAGATCTCCTACTTGAGCTGGGGGTTGGACTAGAAGACCTCTGAGATCTCTCCCAGCTCTATTCTGATTGATTGATTGATTGATTGATTGATTGATTGATTGAAATGGTCTAGGGTCTTCTACTTGAGCTGGGGTTGGACTAGAAGACCTCCAAGGTCCCTTCCAACTCTGCAGTCTCTTATTCAGTAGCAGAGACTCCTGAAATCAGCCAGGCTGCTCTTCAAACGTGGTTGTTCAACCCAACCTCTTTTTAAATTTTTTTGGGGAAAAATGGGGGGTGGGACCGGGGCGCTTACAGGAAACCCTCATTAATCTAATTTTTCTGCACAAACTGAAGCTGCAAAGAAACAGCTGGAGTGGAAGGCTGCAAAGTTTGTTCTCCTGGGGTTTTCGGCATCCAGCTGGGATTTTGCTGGACTGGGCGAGACTTTCCTCTCTAAAAGAAAAAAAAAATTCTGCAAGAGTGAAGCTCAAACTTCTCGTTTTGGCACTCACAAAGCCTTATTGTGCATCGCAGCAACATGCTGTGATATTTTTTAACGGGAAGAAGGGTGGAAATATTTTCAATCCGCCAATGAATAACGTTTGGAGATTGCTTTACGCCCTCTTGCAAAGATACAGCTAGTATCTAGTTCTTACAACAGTTTGTTTAGTGGCCGTTCCATTTACGCCCGTTTCTCACACTTATGACTGTTGCAGCACCCCCAGGGTCACGTGATCAAAAGTTACTTTCGAGTTACTCTTCTCAGTCCCGTTGTAACTTCGGTCGCTAAATGAACTGACGAAAGTCGAGGACCTGTACGGATTGAGCTTTTCTCCTTTTTCATTATAATTTTTAAGAAAATTGCTATTTCAAAAAAAAAAAAATAGATTTGCAGCCCGCCACGCAGTCGCTCTTCAAAATCTTCCATTTTTTGTATAAGAGGTGCCCCCGTTGTTATTCTTTTGAGACAAATTAATTGGAATGATTAATAGCCCAGCACACACACACCCCTTGTGCCTTCAAAAACATGACAGATGGAGTAACCACAGAGTTGATTTTTCCCGTGCCAAGTTTTTGAAGATGTCAGCGTCCACCTGGGTGCTTCCTGACCCATAAGCATTTTAATTGCGAGGGAGCCCATCAGCCCTTAAATCCCAAAGCCGGACGGACATAAAAAGCAACATTTAACCCCCCCCGATTCGAATCATTTCGATCACGAGAGCGGGCAGCCTTAAATGAAAAGACCACTTTGATTTCAGAAATAAATTCTGAAGGCTGGTTTTTCATCTGGTTTCCCTGGCCCAAATCTTTACCCCTAATTCATAAAGATATTGGATTGATTTACCCCAAAATTGGGGGCATGGAGTCCAGATAGCCTATCTTTTTACAAAGCGGAGCAGGTTCCTGGACCGCCCATCCATTGTCAAGGTAAGTTTTTTACTTGTTTTTCAGCACAAATTCTTTCTTTCTTGTTTCTTTGTATTTTTGCTCAGCCATAGAAAATGGAAGGAAGGAAGGAAGGAAGGAAGGAAGGAAGGAAGGAAGGAAGGAAGGAAGGA